TCGTAGTCCGGCGACGGAAGCCTATAACACCTGTTTTTATGCATGGCAAAGGGACAAAGATCCCCCGTATAGCTTTAAGAGGCTGCTGGGGCAAGTGCTGTTAGCGAGTAGCACCTATGAAGGCTGACACGGCACACGAGGGGTTCAGTGGCCAGCACCACGCACGGCCCCCTTTGTCTCCCCAGTGTCGATGTTTACACACCGCATAAGGTACTCATTTGAGGCTAAGCCGATCTAGGGGGGGCCCAGGACCGGTTCATATAATCGTCACTTGTTGGTTGCCGTGAGCAGGAATGGAACTCGGGTGAACCGGGTTCGTAGCGCAGTGCGCCAGCCACTCGATCTCCGCTCCCACCTTCTGCATGGCGGCCACCCAAACTCAACTATTGTTTATTTCACCAGGTAAGGCCCACTCAGCTATAGAGCTCTTTATTCAGAAGCGACCTGGCCACAAATTATAGCTCAACGAAGTGGCTTGTGTAGAAATGTATAGCAGCCAAATACTCTCAACGCATGTTTATAAGTGTGGAGGGGAAAATCGGAGGACCCGGAGGAAAATTCACACGACCACGGGGAGAGAGACACGCAAACTCCAAATATACAGCAGCAGGCGTCAGGGTCCGGATCGAACCGACGACCTCCTGCATACCAGGCGAGGCGGTTAACATCTCACCACCATGGCACCGTATACAAGCACGGTCAAGGCTCAAATCCCCATCAGCTTCCGAAATCCGACGAGATTCCGTGTGACTGAATCCCTGGGCACCGCGCTCCAACTGCGGAGTCATTCGCCGCCACGCGCGCGGCTAACGGAGCGCGGCAGGTGACGAGGCGGGAGGGAGTGGAGGCGGCCGCCGCCGCCTTGGGGTCGCGCTCGGCCGCGTCGGTGGCACGGCGGCCCCCTAAAGATGGAAAGGAATTCATGGGCAGTGGTTGACGGACTCCGCTCGGGGCAGGGGCGAGGCAGATGTCGCGGCGGGTCGCGGTGCCGCCCGAGCGCAAGGAACTCGCCGCATTCCCAGCAGCAGCAGCAGGAGCAGCAGCAGGAGCAGCAGCAGCAGCAGGAGCAGCAGTAGCAGCAGCAGCAGCAGGAGCAGCAGCAGCAGGAGCAGCAGCAGCAGGAGCAGCAGCAGCAGGAGCCGCGGCAGCAGTAGCAGTAGCAGCGGCAGCAGCAGGAGCAGTAGCAGCAGCAGGAGCAGCAGCAGGAGCAGCAGCAGGAGCAGCAGCAGCAGCAGCAGGAGCAGCAGCAGCAGCAGGAGCAGCAGCAGCAGGAGCAGCAGCAGCAGCAGCAGCGGCAGCAGCAGGAGCAGGAGCAGCAGTAGCAGCAGCAGGAGCAGCAGCAGCAGGAGCAGCAGTAGCAGCAGCAGCAGCAGCAGGAGCAGCAGCAGCAGGAGCAGCAGCAGCAGGAGCAGCAGCAGGAGGAGCAGCAGCAGCAGGAGCAGCAGCAGCAGCTCCTGCGGAGGCGCGCGGCTGTCGTGGATCGAGACTGGCCGCTCGCACGCGGGATCCAAGAGCCGTGCTCACTGTTTCATCATTCATCGACTCTCTCGTGATTGTTTTACGAGTACTGCAGTTCCGTTTCGCGGAACGGTAATTCAAAGTCGTGCAATGCCGTATCCTCTGGATTATAAGACGCGCCCCTCAAACTTGTGCCCGGTGTCAATAAAGTTCTCCAACTCTGTTTCCACACACGAGCATACGCAGAGAGGGGCACCACTCACAACGACGTTTCTCTCCGCAGCAGATTCAGCGTTGACGTTGTCCCTTCAGTCGGGCTAAAGTGATCGGTGTGTGAACAACAAACCAACACAAAGGGACGTTTTAGCCACATCGTGTTGGACGAAGCTCGGACCATGAACTTGCTCCTCTTAAAACACCAAAATAACCGGCAGACGGCCAAGGCCAAAGAATCCCAAATGACAACTCGGCATCTCAGCAGGCGGCGTCCGCTTTGCGGTGCGGCGAATCCCCACGGCGATGCCGCCCCCCCCCCCCCCCCCCCCCCACGTGAGCTGGAAACGACATCCACCATCATCGGGACGTCGTTACCAGCGAAACGTCACGATACTCAAAGAGTAAATGTTGCGGATTTACTCTGCAACACACCGGTGGGCTGAAGCAGTAACGGATTGGCCACGTGTTGTTGCCGTGACAAACCTTCCTGCTTGGCTGTGTCGGATATAGCCCACACATTAAAACACATTATTATGAATAGTATACGTCTCAATTACGATTTGAACTCTGCCCCGCAAGTTTGTTTTTTACTCGCTGCACAACAGCATCTTTGAACAAACGGCACAAGCCAGACGCGAGGGCAGGTCATGGGGTCAATGAAACCCCGCAATTCGATTTCTCACGCACCTGGACATTTACGCCGGGGTAGTTGGGGGGGGGGGGTACCAGATGTGTCTAAAGAAACAGGCGCACTTCCAAAACCCGCGGGGAAAACAACTTCGCTTAATCGACCACGTCTGGGCTCCATTACAGACGCAATCGGCGCTCATCAAGCTGAACGGATTCACGCTATTTGAGAAACTGGAGCGGCGGAATTGAATTAGCGCCGGCAAGACAAGAGTGGAACATTGTGAAATCAAGTTGCGCTTCTGTGGGGGTGGTCGGGGAGGTTTTTGTAACGTGGCCAAACAGGGAAGACGTTGTGGGACCTTTTTGCCAGTATCAACGTATGAAAAGATAGGAATAGGTTTTACCCTTTCTTGGAAATAAAACAGGTGGTAAGCTATTCACACACCAAATAGAAATCTTTGGCAATGAATGAAGTCAGCAGTAACCACGCGTACTTGTGGTGAGCATGCAAACAAACATGCTCCGACGCCTTTTGGCGTTCTCTGGTGTGACGCTGAACAGACCCAGCATCGACACAAGAAGTGTCCCCGGAAGATGACCTCGTCAAGACGCATGCAGGTTACAGTGGATCGTCGATGGCAAGAGACTAACTTGAAGATCAGGTTGGGAAATTCAATCTAAACCTGCACCTCTACCAGTAGAGGTGGAGCGAGAGGAGCTTCTGCCGCCTTTTGGCGTTCTCTGGTCTGACATTGGTGAGACGAGGCCCTAAAGAAGACTATCTTTGGTAGAGACCAATCAGTTTCAAAGACAATGCCATCTATTATCAGAACATGTTGTTTGCATGTTCACCGCATGTACCGTGTGTGCTTAATGCAGTACATGATTCCTTGTAAAATGTTTCTATTTGGTGATCTATTGCCAGAAAGGGTAAAACATTCAATTTTTTCAAACAGGGATGACGTTATTTTTTTAAAACGCTGCGCACATTTGGTTTAAAGCCCACCTGTTCGATCATCATCGGTCTCCAGTGATTTACGGACGCGGCATGAAGAGCTCCCACGTGTTTCGCTGTTGCGCCCCGTGTTGTTCGGCGTGCTGGGAGCGTCTTCTCGAAACAGGCACAAATTCAACTTGATCTCCCGTGGGAACCCGTCCGTTAGTCCGTCACTCAGCGGTGCTTCCCATCGTGTCAACAAAAACAAAAACGGCCCCACAAGATATCGGATAACTACTTTTGAAGTCCCTTCGATAATCCGGTCTCACCCATTACTGTGACTTTGTAGCAAAACACACAGCGCATTGGTGCATCAGACGGGACGTTAATCCGACAGCACAGCGATGGACCAGCACAGCGATGGACGCGGGGCGCTTGGTATTCCACTCAAAGCAAGGAAACTATGTTTGGGCGTTAGGTGAGGAGGCCTCCGATCCGAAGCTTAAGTCGAAGGTCCAGATGAGAGAGAGCGCGATGTTTACAGGGTGGCAGACCTGGCCTGAGGGGGAGCTCGTCCGGGAGATCAGCTGTCGGGAACATTGAAACATCGCGCACGGGGCAAGACACGCAAAGAAACACGTGTTCTGCTTCGCACACAGGTTTTTGTAGCCACTATAATGACCCACATTTGTTTTTAGGTTTGGCACATGGCTAGTTGTCTGCCAACGTTCCTGTCGTTATCCCTTCACCACCGACGAGATTGTCACGTTTACAAATACATCATTTAGTTTATCACGTAAGGTTTTCGCGACTAATGTTATCCATAAGAGGTTTTTTGGGTAAGATCGTGTAAATGTTGTGGGTTTACTCTCCAACACTCCGGTGTGCTGAACTAATTGACACATTTTGCGTACGTGACCATCTTTACTTATTGGCTGTGTTGGGTGGTGGCGGGTTTAACGACACATTTATATTCACGCGATCCAACCCAAAAAAACCCTCTATAATGGAAAGATAGTATTTATACGTGGCAAACTCTCCTCCTAACTAGGTTGCTTTAAGACTCTTCACGACCGAATTCAACGTCAAACACATTTGTTCGTCAAGTGTGCAACCTACGCCATGGCTGGCCCTGCAGGGCATTGTGGGGGCCATGCGGATAATTGTGCCCAAGTTGCAGTCCATTCGAACCGGCAAGTTAATCCGATTGTCACCCAGTGCATCGTGGCGAGCTTGGAGAAACAACACAAACGGCATCGCTTCCTATGCTGTCATCCAACAGAACAAGGCTCGTGTATTTTTTGCCAGCTCGGTATTTGGCATTGGCTCCAGCGAGCCGGCTCAAAGCCAACGCTCAACTTGAGCCGGCTCCGAGCGCGATCCCAGCCATGCTCAGGATTCCCATGACGCCGAGGCGAGCCACGGCTCAGCCACTCTCCCGTGCATCTTTGAAAGCCACCGAGTGGCGCGAGCTTGAGCCGAGCGCAAGTGTTTGAGGCCCGACGCGTGGGACACTCACAACAGGATATGACATCGTCTAAATCTGTCTATCGACACAGCCAGACATGCATGGCATCGTGGTCTTGGCGACTGATCATAAGTTGTGGCTCAATAAAAAAAAACACTCTCTGCATGTTGATGGTATTGAAAGGGTGATGAAATCGGTTGATGGTGAAAGAATTGAGTGGTGGCCAGGCAGGAGAGTCAGCAGTGGGGTGGTCGGGAGGTGCGTCGCCTCGAAACCCAGGGGCAGCTGGGAGGTGGCCATCATTTGTTTTAATTAAATTGAAGAAAACGCTTGTTCATCATAAATACCAAAATTACGACTGAATATAGCAAAATTCTGCATTTATAAAAGTGAAATTACTTTACACTTACATTGAAATATTTTTGTATAAATTCCACCGCGGATTGTTTTGTATTTACACCTTAACCAAAGTAGTAATTTTTTGTAATCATATCCTGTGTGCCCAGCGGTGGCAGTGGTAGCGCGCGATTGTAGTCCAGCGCCCTGTAGGCAGGGTTGGTTGGATCACACGAGCGTTGCGAGAATTTCTTCCTGTGGGCGTCGAGAAGCCGGTCCAGCAAACAGGTTGACGCCACGTGGTTTTGTCTGTACGGGACCGAGTGGTTTCCCCTCACACCCCTGGATTTTCTTCGGGTGCTCCAGTTTCCTCACACACGACAACATTGGCTGAGAACACCTTCATACTGGGCTGGCCCAGGAGACGCCAGTGGTGCAATGTCGCTCGGCTGAACTGGGAATTCCCCAGGAATAGCTGGAGCCTGTCGCCAGGGAAAGGGAGGCCTGCACCGCCCTACTCAACATTCTGCAGCCGCGACCCTCACCAGGACAAGTGGATTGAGAAACGAACGAACCTGACAGAGGACAGCAGATCTCGGGAAATTGTTGACGCTTGCTCCTTGTGCCTGGAAGTCGTTCTCTCTCTACGAGTGAGCGAATAGTGGGCGTGGGTGTTAGGAGTTGAAATTGTATATATACAGAAACATTCACAAAACTTGAATCGACAGCGAGTGCAAACGGTAAAATATTTCACCATAAGGAAAATAAATGTCTCGTACGCATTCATGCGCCATACAAATAAGTGCCACGATTGTGATCTCATAAACTATTTCCCACATTTACACCACCACCACCACATAAAAATAATGTCTTAACAATTCACAACACAAAAGTAAGTTGCTTCTATCGACTGAATCCCCCTTGTTCAAAAACACCTGAGCTTGTATGCTGCCATGCCGGCATGCAGGAGCTGCCCGCAACTATTACGATATGCGCAGTATTTATTCGATGGTGTGATTCACATTTATTTATCTTATCCCTCCCAACTGAAAGTTTACAACCAGAATTCTGTCCCCACCCAACCTGCAAACCACCTCCAGCATGGCGCAGCACACGTGGCAGCAGAGGTGGGACATTTTTCCCCTTCCAAAACCATTTTCGTGTGGTCAGATTATTTGAATAATTGATCCAATAACCGGCAGAGTAAATCGATCACCTGGGTAACTGAGTAGCGCAGCTCTCATAACTCGAGCAGCACTCTTTGAAAGTAAACAGCAGTTGTGTCCTCTGTCAGAGCAAGGAATGTCCACTAATGACTTGGTCCCTTGTAGAGCCCCCAGCTCCCCACCCCCCACCTGCACAGCCCGAGTCAAGACATTAATCCTCTCCCGACCTCCACTGCGCACAGCCTCGCGCTGCTGCCGTGGGTTAGGATTATGGGTTCTGGGCTAGCGGTAAGGTTAACATAGAAGGTTGCAGGGGGTTATGAATAGAACTTGAGTATTAATAATGCAGATCATTTTAGTCAGGCTGGTGAGTTTGGTTAGGGTTATGGATTTAGATATGGAGTTATGGGATTTGTGTTATGGGGTTAGGGTTATGGGATAAAGGTGTTGAGTCAGGATAGACTCACGTTTTCGGGATTGGGGCTCAAGTTCTGCAGTTGGGCTCGGTGGGGTTGGTTACGGTCAAGGATATTGGTGGCTCACGGCTTCGGTTAGAGAAACCACAAGAGTCCACCGCGGGTTTTCCAGTCGAGTGACAGCGAGCGCAGGTGGATTCATTTGATCGCTGGAATGCGCTTGCAGTGGTTTCGTCAGCGACGCTCTCTCCATCAGATGGGCGTGCACCACCCATGCGGCTTCACCAGGGATAACCGGGCTGGTGGGAGCCCAAAACTGGTGCAGCAGCAGCAGCATCACCATCGTCGTCATCACAGTTTAACACGTAGGCTTTTCGAGACAAATATCCATAGTAAAGGTTTTTTTGGGGGGTTTAATCGTGTAAATATAAATGTGTCATTAAACCTGCCACGATCCGACACAGCAAACTAGTAAGGACACAGCCAATTAGGAAGACCAAAACGGGAGTACTTTTCACAATTCTGCCTAATCGCCTGATGAGCCTGGTTGTAATTGCCAGCAAAACGTTGTACTCGAATTGTAAATGTTGTGGGTTTACTCTCCAACACACAAGCGGAGTGCTGAAGCAGTAACTGATTGGCACGTTTTGTTAATGTGACAAACCTGACTATTTGGCTGTGTAAGGTGGTGGCGGGTTTCACGACACATTTATATTCACGCGATATAACCCAAAAAAACCTTCATGGTCGTCATCACAGTTTGCCTGAACAGTTATAACGTCAATCAATCTTACTTCACACGTCGCGCGGGACTGGAAATAACCAGATGGGAGTTTGTAGTTTCCCCTATAACTTAAGGCATCAAACGCCAATGGTTATGGTTTCAAGATTTGGGTTGTGGGGTTAGAGTTTGTAGATGAGGCTGTTAATAAGGGAACGTGGTTCAGTAAGCAATGCAGATTAGACTTGATGGAACACAGATGGTTAAATTTTAAGATGCTGCAGATAAGGCAATAGCTTAGCGGCTAAGGATTATAAGCAAAATAAGAAAATTGGTGTTAGGTTACAGGATAGATTAGAGCAGTTAAGATTGGATTTAATTTTTCCCATTCCCACTGTCGACATCGGTAACATGTTCTGACAACTTAAACTGCCAACACGTGCCTCCAATCACAACGTCAGTGCCTGTGTGCGCACACACGTCTCATAATTTAGCAATTAAAAATTTTAAACGTGAAAATTGTGCACAATCGTTTCGTAAACTCTCAACGGTCCCGACTGTCAGAATGCGAACCACAAGAACTCCAAAACCACGGCCTAAGAGATCTGTTCCTGGATTTCTAAACTAAACTATTTTTTATTTTACCAGGCAAGGCCCCAGAGCTATGTAGCTCTTCTTCAGAAACGACCTGGCTATTTCAACAAAGTTGCTTATCACGTGACAATTTATAGCAGCCAAATATTCTAAACCTATGTTTATAAATTTGGAGGTAAAAACCGGATGACCAGGAGAAAAATCCACGCGACCACGGGCAGAACATTCAAACTCCAAATATACAGCAGGCGTCAGGGTCGGGATCGAACCCATGACCTCCTGCATACCAAGCGAGGTAGTTAACATCTCGTCACCGTGGCACTCAGTGGCGGGATGTTAACTGCACAGCCAGCTGTGGCCAAACCTAGCCAACTGACTTTTACCGAACATCATCGACTGCTTTGGAAATGTGCAAAATCAGTAGAGGACAAGGCTCTCCAACAACGGCTGGGCCCCGGAGCCTTGTGGGAATACGAGTGCAGGTTTCTGTCGACGGTGCAGGCGCCGCTTATCACAGGGGCTTGTTGGCGATGAACGACTGGAACATTTTGAAGGAGGCCCGCGGAGCCCACTGTGGCACCATGTGTCCCGCTCCCTGCACGCAGCGCCGGACGGGAAGAGGAAACACACCGATATACACATATATAGCAGGCGCCAAGGTGACGAGATGTTAATGACCTCGCGTGGTAAACAGGAGGTCGTGGGATCGATCCAGACCCTGACACCTGTATATTTAGAGTTTGCATGTCGAGCTCCCCGTGGTTGCGTGGATTCTTCTCTGGGTCCCCCGGTTTTTCCCTCCACATGGAAAAACACGCGTTTAGAGGAAGCCGCTTTGTTGATCGATCATTTGTTGCCAGGTCGCTTCTGAAAGAGCTCTATAGCTCAGTGGGCCTGACCTGGTGAAATAAAAAATAGTTTTAGTTTAGTTTAAACCTCTTGTCCACTACAACCGAGTCGTGCCAGTAGCGGAGACATTTGGGCTGATTATGATGATTATGAGTTAGAGGAGTGGATTATGGTGCCCTGATGTAACGATGAGCCCACTCGACTTGCATTCCCAGAAGTCAACAGTGCGACCCCACAGCACAGCAGATTCTTAAACCCCCCTGCCTCTGTCGACTGAACAGTATCAACGGGTGCACCAGCCAACTCTTCCCACCTCTTCCCAAGAAGTCTGACCGGTATGGAAGAGTAGGCCAAACACCCTCGACAGTGGCTCTCGACAGCTTCCCATGAGAGAGCCCCTCTAGCGGAGGCTCTCCTGCTGGCAGTGGCGTGAGAATTTCAGGGCTGCGCCTTTACCGTTTGACATTTGTGGCTAGGACAATGGCACAGGGGATGGCCTCCCCTTGCAAATGATATCATGGGATCATGAACATCCACTTTGGTTGACAGTTCCCCACGGAGGTCGCCAGCAGCAGCAGCACCTGCAGCGGGAGTTGAGCCGTTGGCCCCGCACGAGACGGCTGAGCGGCCTCAACTCCAGTGCACTCACCTTGACGGTGAGGAAGGTGATGCTATCATATTCGTGACAAAATCCCGCGATCTGGTCGTCCACGATCCAAGCCCGCTGAGCCGCCAGTTTCTGCCGAGCAGGAGAGGGGAGGGCAGAGCGAGGCCTCGCGTGAAGACCACGTGCAAGACGCTTGGCGGCGCAAATTGCAATCGGCGCGGCGAGTCACTCTCGGCTGCATCTACGAAACAACTCTTAGCTTCAGAAATACATTTTGTGCGTTTGGTGTCCGCGCCGTTCCTATCGCGCGGGGCGCCCTCTTTCACAGACGGGTATGGTCCGCCAGTAGGGGGGGGCAATGTTGCCACGTGGTTTTACCCAGTGAAGAAATCCGTGAGGATTTTTTTTTCAAATACGGCACACATGCCACAGCGCAGAGAGGCCCTCGTGTGTCCACAAAAGGGGCGTTACGGTGGCGGGATGTTAACTACATCGCCTGGTATACAGGAGGTCATGATGCCTGTGTATTTGGAGTTTGCGTGTCTCTCTCCCCATAGTGGCGTGGATATTTTTATCAACGTGCGTTTAGAGTATTTGGCTGCTATATATTTCCACATGAGCCACTTTGTTGAGCTATCATTTGTGGCCAGGTCGCTTCTGAAAAATATACATAGCTCAGTGGGCCTTACCTGGTGAAATAAAAATAGTTTTATCGTTTAGTTTACATACACGAGTTATAGTGGGACCATGGTGCAGCTTCATAGCTCATCGGATTCCTCCGGTATAAATACATATTCTGATTCTGACGTATCCAATTGCTGGCCACGATAACCACCGCCGTTCCCCAGCCTCCTCCACATACTACTACCGAAACCCCTCCACCCTCGCTCACCTTCCTCTGCAGGCTTTCCACAAACCACTGGTCGCCCAGGAAGTTGCAGGCCATGTCGGTGTCTCCGTTGTAGACGAGCCCCCGCAGGCCGTGGCCCAGCAGCTTCTGGTAGACGTCGAACATGTCGCTGTAGACGCGCACGTAGTTGGCGCCGACCACGTCGCTGCGCACCGAGGGGAGACGATGGGGGGAGGGGGGGGTGTTAGGGCGCACGTGCACGAGGTCATTCACCACCGCGACGTTCACGAGGGCAGCGTTGCCAGGCTTGGGCCCGGTGGGGTGGTAGTTGTATTTTCTCACGGTCGCCAAGCAAAGGGCCCCCAAGGACTAAAATGCCAAGCGGCCAGCAACAAAACAACGCCGTTGAGGCGGTAATAGGTAATCATTGACGCGCTTCTTGAACTGAGCAAAGTAGTTATGAGAACTTTGGAAAATAGACGAAAGGGAGGGGGGGGGGGCTTCCAAAGCTGAGCATTGCGATTGCCATGGTTAATCCCTGCGGTGTCAATCAACCAATCATTATGTTACGTGACAAATATCGCCCTAAATATATGAGGCATCGGAGCACATGACAGCAGAATGGGAATGGTACAGGGGCGCAACGGAGCTACGGGAAGGTAAAAAAACCCAGTGACGACCTCAGCAGCTAACACCGACTGAGCAAAGTAAACTTCAATTGCGCGCAAAGATAAACCACAACTTGAATTGAGTGCCTGGCACGAGCAAACAGCGGCCTTCTCCTGCGCATTACGCCGGGGGTTCTTGAACGTCGACTGCCAAGTGGGTATGGCGGCGTGCAGCATCGTTGCGGTCGTCAGTCGCGGTATTATTCAGGGCGGCCGCTGGATTCAAACCGTGTCACCAAATCCTAACCACGAACCGTGGGCATTACAGCGAAGGCAAGTACGTGACATATACCACGTAAATACTTAACATTACACAACTCGCATTGCTCGTGCGCATAACTTTTGCACGCTTACAAATATAGCTTAGAGCCGGGGTGGGAGAACCTATGACCCCCCACACTCCAAAGTGGCCCCCATCTCACCACTGCCAGTATCTTAGCCGCGTGTCTACTTCGAGCCGCGTGTCTACTTCGAGCCGCGAGCCACCACGAAGGACGTGGTGTTGGGGAGAGGACAGCGACAGGGCAGACACCGCAATCAATACGTTAATACCTAAGTGGGCTTTGCCTGGTAGGATGGGGATGTTTTAGTTTCATTTGTTTGTGTTTGGGCGATTTGTTTACCTTGCTTGTACTTTGCACTCCTGTCGTGTTTGTGTTGTTTGTTGTTGTGACGCTCTTACCCAGTGCCCCTACTGGGTGTCTGTGAAAAAGGGCTTTATAGCTCATGGGATTCCTCCAGGATAAATAAATATTCTGATTGTACAAGAGAAGCCCTCGTCATTATTATTCACGTCAACGTGTGGCCCTGTTAAGCCGTCAGTAACGCACACAGCCAGGCCTGGCGGTGCACACCTGCAAGTCGAACGCTTTGCAGGCGATTTTGAGAGGTGGTTTTTCCCCAACAAGTACAGATTTTGACCGTGGACGCCGGCGCACGTGGCCTATCCTTTTTCAGATGTCACTGAATGTTTAATATCCACAACGAAGCGGATGGCACGTAGTCGTTGAGGTTAATACGCCCGCTGTAGTGGACAGGATGGCCTCTGGGCTCGGACCGCAAACCTCCACAACAGTCGGAAACTGCACTACCGCTTGTCCAAGTCACCGCACCAGGTACTCATTTAAGCATGAACAGACTGTTGGGACACAAGAGGGGGTGGGTGGCCAGCACCACGCCTGGTCACCTTTGTCTCCCCAGTGCTGATAAATCGACCTGACCACAAATGATAGCTCAACAAAGTGGCTTATCATGCGGAAATGTATAGGAGCCAAACATTCTAAACGCATGTTTCTGATGTTCACACACTGCACCAGGTACTCATGTAAGGCCGAATCGGTTCAAATATTCGCCACCGGTATTGGTCATGAGCAGAAATCGAACTCGGATCGCCGGATTCGTAGTGCGGCGTGCAAGCCGCTCCCCACTGGGCCCAAAAAACAAGTAAACCCGTAAAAACAAAGTTTTTCACTCTAAATCCTTTATATGCGTGGCGGCTAGAGTTCTCTCGTCCTCTGGCTTGAGATGGCTGCAATCTATGGGTCAGATGATTGTCTGCCAGTATTCAGCAATTGGTAATTAAATATTTAATTTGTTTTCCCTAAACAGTGTAAAATTTTGGAAAAAAAATTTCACGAAAATTAATTGTCACACACAACGAGTCTGTGTGGAAAATGTCAGCTCGATTGGATCACGGGAAGTGGGTTAAAAAACGAGCGAAAGATTTGCACGGTCCTAAGCAAGCAAGCGAACTTAATATAAAGGATTTAAAAATATATTTGCCTGTGGAGGACGCGGGGATCGATCCCGCGACCTTTGGCATGGGAAGCGAGGGCGCTACCAACTGCGCTACTCCACCACGGCCTGTGGAGGGGTTACGCTCTGGGCTCTTACACTCTGACGTTCAGCCAAAACCATGAATGCGTTCTATTTAAATATATGTAAAATAAAAACATTTTGCCTAAAAAGTGTAACATTTTGGGAATTTTTTTTCACGAACAATAATTGTCTGGCACAACGAGTCTGTGTGGAAAATGTCAGCTCGATTGGATCACGGGAAGTGGGTTAAAAAACGACCGAAAGATTTGCACGGTCCTAAGCAAGCAAGCAAGCACGCGAACTTAATATAAAGGATTTAAAAAACAAAGATCCCCCAGTATAGCCTCAACAGACTGTTGGGGCAAGTGCTGTTAGCAAGCACCTATAGCTGGTACAGTACACGACCGCCTTTGTCTCCCCAGTGGTGATGTTTGCACACCGCACTAGGTACACATTTGAGGCCGAGTCGACCTAGGGGAGGCAACGGGACGGGTTCAGATAATCGTCACTGGTGTTGGCCGTGAGCGGGAATCGAACTCTGGTCGCCGGGTTCATAACCCAGCACGCTAACCGCTACACTACTGCTCCCCATACTGGGCCCAACCCACACACACACACGTGCGCGCGCATGAAAGGGTGCGCGCGCATGAAAGGGGGCGGCACCTGCAGAACTGCCAGGCCTGCACGCCATCTGGGATGTGCAGGGCGGCACGCACGCTCTGCTGATTGATCCAGTTGGTCTCGCCGGTGCCGTTGAGGCAGGGCGGGACGCCCCGGAGACCTCCTCCCGGAGCCACCTGCAATACGGGAGTCGAGTGTCAGCCGTGTCAACTCGGCGCGTTCACTTTCAGAGCTGCTGTGAGCCGCCGCGTGAGTGTAGGACCGCATAGACACAAGGTCCAGGTGTGTTGTACTTGTTGATCTAATGGAGTCAGGGGTGGGTGGGTACCTGATCGGTGGGACGCAGCATAGGTGCGTTCTAGTTTTAGATCTATCGTGAGCAGAGCCGGTGGGTTGGTGTCTTCCTGGCTTGACGCAGCGCAGTAGTGCTGTGATTCTAGGTCTGTACCGTGGGGCTGAGTGGGAGTCTACCCGGCTGGATACACAGCATGGGCGCGATTTGTTTTCGACATGGCATGGGGGCCCTGCGGGTCGGTGAGAAAGTGCGTCGGTGAGCGGGCGGGTGCCTGACCGACTGACGATGCGGCGGCAGCAGGGGCAGCACTGGGCTGTAGGCGCGGAAGAGGTGGCTCATATCGGCGCGGTAGCGAGCGCTGCGAGTGCCGATGCCGCCCGCGCAGTCCATGTACAGGGCGTAGACGTTGAGGCCGATCTCGTACACGACGTGGAACGTCCGCATGACCTGGGGCGGCCAGGGCGACGGGGGAGATTGGCGAGCGAGTCGGAGACGTCCGCGGGCATCGTCACCGCCAGCAATACCGTCTTCATTGTCATCGTCGTCACTATCACCATCGTCGTCGTCACCATCATCATCATAACCATCGTCGTCGTCACCATCATCATCACCATCGTCGTCGTCACGAACATGAGCGAGAATCAAAGCAGAGGAACTGCTCCATTTTGCAAGCATCGCGGTTTACACTGCAAGGGTCATGACATTTATTTACCCACCAAGACTCATGACTCTTTTTTTTTTCATGAGGGTTCCGCACGAGCATGTATGGGTAAATCTACTGAGTTGTTGTACCCGGGGAAGGACTCACGTGTGCGAGACGACAACAACGACAAGGCCACAGACAGGGTCCAGAAACCCATCTGCTGTACTGCCACCTCGTGGCCAACAAGTGTGGGCGTCTCTTTGCCCTGTGACGGCACATCGTTGTGGAGGAGGATTGCCCTCTGAGAGCACAACCGCAAATGATGGCGCCGTGGTCTGGCTCAGCCCAAGTCCGCATTTACGCTAGAAGTCGACAAGGCACATATCGATCTCTGTGTGGCCCACCAACCCTGCCTCAAAAGCACCAGGTACCTTTGGACCTCTTTGCTGATCTCGTCAAGGAGCATGAACCACCCTGCGACTTCCGGCCACCCTCGCAGCGGCGGCAGCGGTTTTTGGCTGGCCATCGAACAAAGACTGTCACCGCATCATCGCGCGCTTTCGGATGCGCTTCTGTGGCCGACTGGAACGCTCTTCCTTCCGATATTAGGAGGCCACTGGAGCTATGCACTTTTAAATCATCTAGATTAACAAACTCTTTTATTTAGATCTGCTTTTTGTGCTTTGTTTGTTGTCCTTCCCCGCACCTCCGATAAGCACGGTTGGCTATGTACGGTGCGAAAGAAGTTCAACGTGTATACATACATTGCGAAAGAATTAACCTGGAAAAAAAATATTTCAATAAAAAAAACATTTTCTGGCGTGTGCCACCGTGGCCAGCATTGACGAGCTCGATCGATGCCCCGTCGACAGTGGGGAAAAGGTGGCCGCTGTCCGAGCGCGTGACGAGCGTGACGAGCGCGGAGGGGGCCGTGGAGGTGCCACTCACCGCCTCCTTGCAGTCGCTGGAGGAGCTGTTGTAGAAGTTACACTTGGCGCCGCTGCAGCAGTAGCGGTTGAGGTCTGCCCACAGCCTGCGGGGGGGGTGGAGGGATGCAGGCATGCGAGGGACAAACGGGAAGATCTCCCGCGTAGCTCGCACGGAATGTGCTGTTCGCGAGCACCTATTAAGGCCAGAATGGAACACGAGGCGGCGGCGTGGACGGTGCCGCCCCCGGCCGCGGCCGCCTCCCCAGAGTTGACAGCACCGGGGAGACAGACGCGGAGTCGACCGAGGGGACGCCAAGAACCGGCTCAGATATCACGATGCCACTCGTGTTAGCCGTGGATGGGGGTCAAAACCAGGCTGCTTGGTGCGTCTTATAATCCAGTACGTGGCCTCTATTTCCACCTTGGTCAATCCCACCATTACTTGTCTGACTAGATTTGAATAGCTCTACTGGCACCGGGCAGAGTCAACAACGTTAACGCAACCACACAGCCACTTCCACCATCACCGTATTTTTCATGTCACACGACGAACCTTTTTTCTCCAGTGTCCGCTCGATATTTCCGAATTTTATATTTCTCACGCTCGTTTACTGTCTCCCCTGGTACAATAAGCACGGTTGGCAACGTACGGTGCGAAAGAAGTTCAGCATACATACATTCCCAGGACACGGTATTTTCTAGATGGTCATTTTTTATAAAAATTACTCAAATGTTTGGAGATCATCTTATTCTCGGACGACATTCTAATCTGGAGAACACGGTAACGCTCGAGGCACAAGACACTGCCAGCTTCAAAAGCAGCCGAGAGCCACGTAAAGATTCCCAGGAAAAATGTAACTAAACTATTTTTATTTTACCAGGTAAGGCCCACTGAGATATAGAGAGCTCCGGTCTTCCTTGCAGTGGCTTGTTGCTAACCATCAAGCAAAGATGGTCACTGCATCGCGCGCAGCGGCTGTCTGGAATGCTCTGCCTTGCGATATGAGAAAGCCTCTGGCACTATGCACTTTTATGTCATCTAGATTGAACACTCAATTTTTTAGAACTGCTTTTTGTGTTTAGTTTATTGTCCTTCCCCTGCACCTCCAATTGGCATGGTTGGCTATGTACGGTGCATAAGATGTTCAACACACACACACACGCGCGCGCGCGTGGTGCCTGAACGGAGTGTGGGCACCACGCGTGCTGCGCACACACACACTCACGATTCTCCCAACAGGCCGTGGTAGTAGGCGAAGTAGACGAGCGATTGGTCGTTGATGGCGTAGCTTGAGAGGCCGTTCCCCACCGCGAACCCCTGCGGGGGGGGGGGGGGGGAACGGGCGGAGCGTTTGCGCGTTGGTCTCGACTCCAATCGTCTGGCACAGTTGACCCAGCCAAGGACGCGTCGCCAGACGCGCACGAAGCAAAGAAGCAGGCGATAGCAGGACGTACATTTTATCATGGAGAGTAAGTAGACCGAGCAAAAGGTTCGCATCACTGCAGTGGGTGGAATGGTAGCGGATAAACGGGACAGGTGGAGGCAGGGGGTGAGAGTACCCATACATGGTAACGGTATGTTGTTTGTTATTTTATAACAACAATCCTTTGTTTATCCAGGAAATACTTACCAAGTCTCAAGACTGTTTCAGAAGAATCTTGCATTGGAATGTTTTCGCCAATTCCACGAGTGGCATATAAGCCAATAAAAACTACCTCGGGGAGACTCAAAGCTCCACGGCGATTGACAAATACACCGCTCTACTGCCACCTCCTGGTCATCTCACGGTCCAAGCCGACAACACATGGCATTCCCAAGCAGAATCGCATCATTTAATAACCAGGCCAAAACTTGCTTAGCCTCCGAGGAGTGAAGACGAGAACGTTAAGTCTCAATGGGCTTCTCGCCTGCCTTATCAATAAAGCACTGTATTAATGAATGAATGAGAAATGCTTTTGTTTGTTTGTTTTCACAAACAAGAGGGGCAGAAAACCTACGGCCTACACGTCTCAACGGGTTCATGGCCCAGAGAAACCAACCACTCTTTAAACGGCCTGCAAAATTATATTTCCCCATCACTGGAAGCATCTTATCAGTACTAATCGGGTGCCAGAGGGCAATATTTTCATCCTGGCCACACTTGTTTCTAATGTTAGCCCACTCAGTCACTTATATCCCTCCCACAGTGACACAAGTGGCTGGGGTATGCACGTGTTAATGAATGGCCCGCCAAAGGTTATCTAAAAGCCTTATTCGGGCCTGAGTAAGGAAAAGGTTCCCCACCCCCACTGCCATTATCGTCGTCAGCCACGGTCAGTCCACTTGCTGCATGAAGACTTCCCCAAATCCGCCAACAATGCTCACGATCCCGCGATGTAAGACTCCACCAGGCACCTGCACACGAGCCGATTTCATCGTCGCTCTGTTTCCGCCGGAGACAGCGGCCGCTGCTCAAGCCCACTCTCTACGTTTCTTAACACTTTGAATGCTAATTAAAGTTTTTTTGGGTTAGATCGCGTAAATATTAAATGTGCCATTAAACCCGCCGTCACACGACGCAGCTAATCAGTAAGGTTAGTCACTTAAAACAAGACGTGCCAATTAGTTACCACTTCAGCACGCCGCTTGTGTGTTGGAGAGTCATATTGGTCGCGGAAGCCTACGTGTTAAAATGTTGTATTATGCCATAAACTGTGTATGTTCTTCAATCAAATTGCTCCTCGATCCATCTATCATTGTAACTATAAGCATGTCTCTCCGTTTTGTCGTGTAGTTATCAGTTTTTCTAATCTTATTCGTGTTTACAACTGTGTTTCTGATCTATGGTGATCTTCTTTCGCACCGTACGTAGCCAACCGTGCTAATTGGAGGTGCGGGCGACATATGGATGTCATAGCCGGTGGTATGAGCTGATTAATCATTTCAGGCACATTGGAACGTTGCTTTTCATTACGAAGTTCAGCTTTCACAAAGCGCTCCAACCTGTTCTTGCGGCCTGGAAGGAAAAACACAAAAAAACACCTGCCGGAGCGGAACGAAAACTGGAGCGTGTCTGCTGTTGTCACCTTGAAGTTGATTTTGGCGGCGCCCGTCGCGACGCGCAGGCTCAGGGTCGGCACGTAGATGCCTCCGTAGCTCTCCCCAAAAATAAAGAAATCGTTGCCCGAGAACTCGGGGAACTTAGCAAAGAAGTCCTGGAGAGCCGCGTAGTTTCGGTCGGCCACCTGAACACAACGGGGAGGGGGGGGGGCAAAACGTACAACGCTGAAACGTAGGTTTTCCTTGCCAATACAATGATCTACATGGGTTTTGAGTTGTATTTATGTATGTTGTGGGTGAGTGGTAGTGTAGCGGTTAGCGCACCGCACTACGCACCTGGCGACCAGTTCAGTTCCCGCTCACGGCCAACACCAGGGCCTCTTCCCCTCGGTGAACTCAGTCTCAAATGAGCACCTGGTGCGGTGTGTAAACATCGCCACTAGGGAGACGAAGGCGGCCGGGCGTGGTGCTGGTCACCCACCCCTCGTGTGCCATGCCAGCCTTCATAGGTGCTCATTAACAGCACTTGTCATAACAGTCTCTAAACTATACAGGGGATCTTTGCCGTTGTATGCATATTGAACTTCTTTTGCACTGTACGTAGCCAACCGTGCTAATCGGTGGTGCTCCATGGTAGTTTTTATGCCAAAATCATCGCCATTAACAAGCCAGAGCGATTCATAATAAAGGTTTTTGGGTTAGATCGCGTTATTTATAAATGTGTAGCAACCCTCCACCACTCGACACGGCCAATCAATAAAAAAGTTCCACGTTGACAAAAGACAAATAGTTCATTCCTTTAGCCCACCGGTGTGTTGAAGAGTGAATCCACAACATTAAGAAAAATTGTGATCTATTATATTTTCTACCTACGTGACTTTACTGAAAGAACCAAAGAGCAAAGTAAACTCACTTACTAACCAACGGAACCAACCTAATATGCCTGTAATCTGACAAGTAAATTGTAAAAACAATACAGCTAAATAAACACACAAAGCAATATCATAACCCGCACGTGAGATCAATTTAAATCAAGTCCTTTGACAAACAAACTTTGTTGAAGATAAATATTTGAAATAATTCAAAGCTGGGAGTGATATTTGAACCACAACTGAACTGGCCCCGAGCACCTCCTCCTGACCAACGCGCAGTGACCAGCGAGGTGAAGTATGGTCAACAACCTCATGACTAACACGACGTGGGGAGGTCTTCGTCAAGCAGTGGGTTGACAATGAGCCAAATGTTATTTGTACTTGAATTGCGAGTCTGAATCGATGACAATCGAATCGTGGTGGCCAGGTGAGTGAATCGCAGCAAGACCCCTTGCGCTGCAGCGCTGCAGCGCCGCTGGTGAAGCGAGGGTGGTTGCCTTGGTCACCTGGTCGTCGTCGATGGTGTAGTTCTTGTCGTCGGAGTAGGAGAATCCCACGCCGGCGGGAGACTCGAGGTACAGGATGTTGGCCGCCTTGTTCCAACTGTCGTTGTTGTAGTACAGCGTCCGCCCGTCGTCGTTCACCTGGGGCCAGGCACACACAGCCCCTTCTGGCACCGCGTCGTCGGACCCAGGAGTGGGGGGGGCCTAGGCGGCTCATGATGGCCACATCAGGGCAATGACCCAGCACCACTGAAACTCTGTATCCGAATTAATTGTCACATTAGCTCTGCAATGGGTTTCCACAGGTTGTACCCTCATGTTGTACCCTCATGTTGTACCCTCATGTTGTACCCTCATGTTGTACCCTCATGTTGTACCCTCATGTTGTACCCTCATGTTGTACCCTCATGTTGTACCCTCATGTTGTACCCTCATGTCGTGCGGCATGATGGCGGACCATTCGCTTCCATGTGCCCGAAGAAGCTCCCAGTGCATGGAGTGAAATCATTCCGGTCAACATGCGGCAAAACCCTAAAAAACGCCTCGCAGCAAGCTATACAGCACAACTGTGAAAAAACCCTCGTGTGATAACCTCACTTTGTAAGCATGCTACGGAACGACTGCACCCCCTACCCCCTACCCCCTCCCCCGCCACAGCAACGAGGACGCACGTGGAAGGGCCCGTTCTCGGACAGGAGGCCGTCCACGGAGCTGCAGCCGGGCCCGCCGTTCAGCCACAGAACCACGGGGTCGCTCGCTGGTTTGTGCGCCGACTCCACGAACCTGGGGCATCGGGGATGGAGACGGCACGGGGCAGACAGCAGATAAGGGGCAGTGGGTGTGACGGGAGTGAGACAAATGTGAAACAAGTTGTGTTTATGTCCGAATCGTCCATTCGTCTACGCACATTTTACCTACTTTGCATTAATCTCACCCATTACAATGTTGCAATGTGCTCTACTCTCACTACGATGATGATGATAAAAGCGTGCAATAACATGTGTAAAAAGTGGGACAGGAACATCGCGTGGGCTAAATGGGGATTATTTCAATTTTTTCAATGAGCTGCGATTTTAATGGTTTTATTTCTTGGAGACAGTCATAGGCAAAGGTGGAGGGGAAGGCCTTGAGTCTGGACTTGGAAAGGGACAGGGTCAAGTACGCGTGGCTGTGGGACGAGAGAGTTCCAGACGAGGGAGGGTGGCATCAGCAGAGAATGCGCGACCTCGCATTGAGCGGGGAAGGCTGCTTGCAGGTTTTGTTCGGAGACGTTGATTACTGGAGTGGAGAGTGAGTGTTGGGGACTAGGGTAAGATGAGAGGGGATTAAGTAGGCAGTGGCAAATCCTTGGAACATCTTGAAGATGGAGAGGGTCCATCTGGAAAAAATAATAATCTGAGCCTGGACTGCAAACAAATGACGATCTGAACCTTCAGTCCAATCAGCATTAACCGAGTACCTGGTGTGGTGTGTAAACGTCATCACCGAGGAGACAAAGTTGGCTGGGGCGGTGGTGGCCACACCACCCCCTTGTGTGCAGTTCAGACCTTAATAAGTGCTCGCTCACACCACTTGACCCGACTGTCTGTTCAGGCTACGGGGGGAACTTCGCCTTGTTCATGCTGTACCACGGGATTGTTGAGGGCATGGCTCCTCTGTATAAACCGCATGGCATGGAAAGCAGAAGTGTCGCCACACGTTGCATCACGTGCCCTGCTTGGCTCACCAGATCTGACGAGATCGGCGCTTTGTGACCTCCGGGGTGAAAGAGGCTTTCGAAATGTAAACTATTATTATTGTTGTTATTACATTATTATTATTATTCCGCGTGATTTGAATGGACGTGTATGTCGTCATACAAGTGTATTCTTTTGATCACAACCTTTTTCTGTACGTGGAGAGACAAAAATGACGGATGCATTGCCTGGTTCTTGATTTTGACAGTGCCGTACTGCAGCACTTCCCGTGAGACGGGCACTTCACTCGTCAGTTTCTGGCAAGTGCGTCTTGTGACTTGTGTGAGGGTTTAGTGTGAATGACGCGTGTCAGGTGAGAGTCAGCTGAGAGTCACGTGGGAGTCAGAGTCAGGTGAGAGGTGTTAGGTATTGGGGAAGTCAAGTGAATCTGGTGAGTGTCTGTGGGTGGCAGTGGGTGTCTGTGAGTGTCTGTGGGTGTCTGTGGGTGTCTGTGGGTGTCTGTGGGTGTCTGTGGGTGTCTGTGGGTGTCTGTGGGTGTCTGTGGGTGTCTGTGAGTGTCTGTGAGTGTCTGTGAGTGTCTGTGGGTGTCTGTGGGTGTCTGTGGGTGTCTGTGGGTGTCTGCGAGTGTCTGTGGGTGTCTGTGGGTGTCTGTGAGTGTCTGGTGAGTGGCAGTGGTTGCGAGTGGAGTGTCCGTGCGAGTGTGCTCAAGGGTGGTGAGCGCATACCTGGAAATCCCTTATCAGTGCCCTATCTTATTACAGACGAATTCAGACCTTATTGATCACACTGCGCCCTTATACATCTCAACGTTCACCTTACAAAGTCCCATCACGAGGGAGAAACACAAATCAGACAAAGACTATTTTCGTTGCCCGCATTGAAACGGCTGCACGCCGTATGGACCTGAACACTCAACTTCCCTGTACAACAACACGGGGCGAGCCGCATGGGTTGACAGGCATACGAGTGGTGAGCGTGAGTGGTGAGCGTGAGTGGTGAGTGGTAGTGGTGAGCGCGAGTGGTGAGTGGTGAGCGTGAGTGGTGAATGGTAGTGGTGAGCGTGAGTGGTGAGCTTCAGTGGTGAGTGGTGAGCTTCAGTGGTGAGTGGTGAGTTGTGAGTGGTGAGCTTCAGTGGCGAGCGGTGAGTGGCGAGCGGTGAGTGGCGAGCGGTGAGTGGCGAGCGTGAGTCGTGCCCCCCCCCCCTCACCAGTAGTGGAGGTGCGCCCCGTGCCCCCCCCCCCTCACCAGTAGTCGAGGTGCGCCCCGTGCCCCCCCCCCCTCACCAGTAGTGGAGGTGCGCCCCGTGCCCCCCCCCCTCACCAGTAGTGGAGGTGCGCCCCGTGGCCCCCCCCCCTCACCAGTAGTGGAGGTGCGCCCCGTGGCCCCCCCTCACCAGTAGTGGAGGTGCGCCCCGTGCCCCCCCCCCTCACCAGTAGTGGAGGTGCGCCCCGTGGCCCCCCCCCCTCACCAGTAGTGCAGGTGCGCCCCGTGCCCCCCCCCCCCTCACCAGTAGTGCAGGTGCGCCCCGTGCCCCCCCCCCCCCTCACCAGTAGTGCAGGTGCGCCCCGTGCCCCCCCCCCCCCTCACCAGTAGTGGAGGTGCGCCCCGTGCCCCCCCCCCCTCACCAGTAGTGCAGGTGCGCCCCGTGCCCCCCCCCCCTCACCAGTAGTGCAGGTGCGCCCCGTGCCCCCCCCCCCTCACCAGTAGTGGAGGTGCGCCCCGTGCCCCCCCCCCTCACCAGTAGTGGAGGTGCGCCCCGTGGCCCCCCCCCTCACCAGTAGTGCAGGTGCGCCCCGTGCCCCCCCCCCCTCACCAGTAGTGCAGGTGCGCCCCGTGCCCCCCCCCCTCACCAGTAGTGGAGGTGCGCCCCGTGCCCCCCCCCCCCTCACCAGTAGTGGAGGTGCGCCCCGTGGCCCCCCCCCCTCACCAGTAGTGGAGGTGCGCCCCGTGCCCCCCCCCCCCTCACCAGTAGTGGAGGTGCGCCCCGTGGCCCCCCCCCCTCACCAGTAGTGCAGGTGCGCCCCGTGCCCCCCCCCCCCTCACCAGTAGTGCAGGTGCGCCCCGTGCCCCCCCCCCCTCACCAGTAGTGCAGGTGCGCCCCGTGGCCCCCGCTCAGGAACCCCGAGTAGTGCGCGAACTCGGGCTGCGGCTCCAGCCCGGGCAGCCCCTTCACCGCGTCCGCTGCCGGGGCGCCTCTCGCGGCCCCCGCTGCCAGCACGACGGACAGAAGCAGCAGCGGCGGCAGCTCCATGGCTCGCTTCGTGGCGATGAGCGCGGTCAATCCTCCTCCACCACCACCACCAACAACAACACCACCAACAACACCAACACCACCAACAACAACAACACCACCACCACTAACCCCCTCACCGCCCGCCTCGTTCCCGCAGTCGATCCGGGACAGCGCCGCCGCCGGCTTCTCGCTACCGTCTTCCGCCTCGGTGACGTCACGTGTACGTGTGACGTCATCTTCGCGGAACGCGGCTGTTTTGTACGACGGGGTGGAGGAGGTTCCGCGTGACGTCATCGTCGCACCCCTCCCCCCACGTGAACGAGTTACTATCGCAGGGGGTCGAAACGATGGGCGTGACGTCATCTCTACCGAACGAGTAACTTGGGATCGTTGCGACGTCATCTTCACCCAGAACTAGTTCAACAATCGGCATGGTGTCGGGGCGAATGGCGTGACGTCATCTTCACCCAGAACGAGTTTAACAATCAGCAGGGGACCGAGGCGATGGACGTGACGTCATCTCTACCGAACGAGTCACGTGGGATCGTTGTGACGTCATCTTCACCCAGAACGCGTTACAATCAACATGGGGCCGAGACGATGGGCGTGACGTCATCCTACCGAACGAGTCACGTGGGGTTATCGCGCCGATTTAAATGTTTCGCGATACGAGATCAAACATCATCGATTATCGTGACTTTGTTTACCTCTCCCACACTTGGCCCTCCGTGTTTCGTGGCTCTCCCGGATCACAACAACAACAACACCAAGGCGTGAGAGCACGGCGCGTATCGGAATCGAGAATCGATAGCGGTGGAGCGCAGTTATCGACACGCGCGCGGGAATCGATTCCGCGAGACGACCCATGACCCCCCCACCCCCGCGTGTGTGACGTCACGTCGACCCCCCCCCCCCCCACCAGGTTGTTTGGCGAGGCGGCGAGGGAGCGAACTGCTTGATCTCGCGTCGTCGTCTTCGTGTTGTCGTTGTTGCTGCAGCAGCTGCAGAGATGGCGAGCAAGCGCGATGGGCACGGTGAGACGCGCTCGCCCCGCCTCAGCGTCGGGCGGTTTCACGGCGGCACATTTCTCGCTGCGGTGCCACAGGCCTCGGCGCGGCTCGGGCGATGCCGCAGGATCCGGAGACATTCCCGGCGACCACGGAGCGAGCGGGAGACGCGCAGACTCCAGGAGAGAGACATTTTGTTTTGGGGGGGGGGAGGTTTTGTCTTTTACTAAACTAATTTGAGAACCGCCGGTTCAGTGCACGTGTTCGGCTGGGGGGCAGCCATACACGTGGCGACATAGAATACAGTACAACGTGGAATTAGCGGCACAGCCCATCCCTCGAGCCCTCCCCACGCTCAACAACCGCTGAGCTTCTGTGGTCTGATAAGATCGGATAACTTTCGAGTGATTTAGTCGCAGTCAACGGTATCAATACATTGAGAAGATAACATTTTTAACAATACAATTATGCACGCGAGGACTGTAAGCCGTACTTTAATGCTGTAATTAAATTTGACCAGATGAGGCCCACTGAGATATATCGATTTTTTTTCTGAAGCGACCTGGCCACAAATGATCGCTCAACGAAGTGGAAGTTTAAAGCAGCCAAATGCTCTAAGCGCGTGATTCTGAATATGGAGTCAAATAGCCGGAGGACTTTGAGAGCGAGAGACGCGCCACCCCCAAACATACAGCAGCAGCAGCAGCAGGCGTCAGGGTCGGGATCGAACCCACGACCTCCTGAATCGCAGGCGAGGTCGTCAACATCTCCGAGCCACCGCGGCTTACTATGAGCAAGCCATGAAGAGGGGCGACTTGTATGTGTGTTGAACTTCTTTCGCACCGTACGAAGCCAACCGTGCTAATCGGAGGTGCGATTTAACTTGATGTAATAGGCGTTATCTGAATCATAGCCTTACTAGTGGAGCAGTCAAAGAGGGTTGGAATAAAACAGTGCCCTGCCATCGTCTTGAAGTTGGCTCGGATCTTCGGGGGGGTGGAGGCAGAATTTGTGTTACTCCGTGATAATTATTCCAAATAAACTTCCACAAATATTGGCCCGAAGACCGACTCAATGGCCACACATCCAAGACTCCTCCCCCCCCACATAGAGCCACTGGACACAATTAGAGTATTTGCCACGTGTATCTTAAAATACAATTCTTCTTTTAAGCAGGATTTCGTTTCATGCGGAAATTATTTATGTAGAATTGACCGTGAACGAGAATGGGATAAACTTACGAGACATTAGCAAAATCTAGATATCCGTTGCATTACATTAATAGCCTTATGAGCACAGCTCAATATTACAACCAATTTACGCGATGAGCCAAGAATGTCTGTCCCGCGCGTGACGTCACTCCACGGCGACCAGCCCCCCTCATTAATAATCATGAACAGGTGACGTCACTTCACATGTACACCCCCCCCATTCATAATAATTAGCGGGTGACGTCATTCCACATGGGGGGGCGAGGCGCCTCCTCCCCCCTCCTCGGCGCAACTCAACCCTCACTACAAAGGCAGAACCCTCACGTCACGCGATCTCCGTAACGCTACTGAGACATTGAAGTAAAAAGGACGTCGTGATGAACAAGGGATTATAACCTTAACATGAAATAGCTCTGTGTCACCGTGGCGTGACAGATTGCACATGAATGGATGCAATGAATATCACGTCACGTTCTGATTTTCGCTTGCAAGTATCAAATTTACTGCAATACACCCGTCCTTGGACAGGCAAAAGGCGAGTTAAAACAATATTTACCTCTTTCGTGCTGATGCCCATTGATTCAGTAGAGTCGGCGAGTAAAATAGGAGACTGTTTACAGAACGACGTTTATGTTGACCGTGTACAAAAATATTTGAAATGTAAGCAACTAAATTGTATCCACTGCTGGAAGTTGCTGCACGGATTGTTGGTGCCCTTTAAGGCTAAAGAAGAGCAATATGAAATGTTACGTAAACAAAAAAGATTAATCACTGACCACTGGGTTAGCTGTTACTCAATAACAAACATAAAGAAGCATTTGAACATTTTATTCGTGCCCTGTGACAACATTGTTTTGGGGAGCTGTAGAATGGATGATTCTGTTGAGGGGATGTTGATGGTGAAGCATCGAGGCCATCACAAGAGTAAATTTTTAGCGATTGTGTTGTAGTGCATAACTGAGCTCGTAAAATTGTCTATAAATGTAATGTTGCAGTTGGTCCTTTCCATGAATCAACTGAAACAAATAAGCTGTCCTTAGGAGGGTGTTTTTATGCACATATCAAAAATCGACGTGAAGAGATGGATTATTACATGCCGCTTGACGTGACCCTGTTTGTGATGTTTCCTCTTGCAGGAATTTATGGATGTCTCTCTCCAGCCGAGGTGGAGGCGGCCAGCATCCAGGCGAGTTTTAAAAACCGTCCCTACCCATCAAAACACCTCGACATAACTCCAGGATCATGGCAGTTCTCAATATCGTCTCCATCCAGAGCACAGCACCCACACACCACCAAGTGCCTGAATGACAAATGCAGGCCTAGAAGTTAGTCGTCTCTCTGCTAGGCCCTCAATTCGGGAGACACATCCTCACACCCGACCACCGTGCGAGTGCTCCTGCAAGTAATCGCTGGGAATAGCTCTAAAGCCCCCTTCTAGAATGACTCCACTAACATTGTCACCGCTTCTATTCCTTCACACCCTCCGCTGCACCAACCCCCACCCGCCCCCAACCATCCTGACTGCGCGCTCTGCTGCTCTCCCCTCGGCGCCACGCAGCCACTCGGCAGGGACAGGAGCAGGCAGTTTGTGAGCGCCATGCTGCGGCGCGTCATGCCGCGCGCCAAGCCCGACCTGCTGGAGGAGAAGCTGAAGCGGCACGCCGTTGTGCTGAACAAGGACGGGAAGGGAGCTCGCGCCAAGCGCAAGAAGAAGAAGGTGGCGGCGGCATTGTCGTCAGCGGCCTCTTGTAGCGCGTCGCCAGCGTCGGGCCGCCCGCTGTCGTCCCGCGAGCGCCGTCGTCTGGGCCTCTTCGACATCCGGCCGGAGAACCAGAGGTGGCGTCTGCCGGCTGCCTCCTGCACCGATTATATGATTTGGCGACTGCTTGCCTACTTTTCCCGTGAATGTTTCTATCAAATTGCTTATTTATTAATTGTTTAATAATACATCAACCGCTCTTATCCTTTGTGATAATTTCTATTAGCCGTTCATTTTATGTATTCATTCCTCGTCTGCTCTTATTCTTCATCACTGTTTCTGCTCAGTATTTTCATTCATTATCTGCCGTCATCTCTTATCCTCTGCCTGTGAAATCTTTTCTCTATCCAGTGCTTTCAGTCACTCGTGCACTACAGTTTTTTTTAACCCATCTGCAATATAAAACCAATTTCTCCACCATGTTCACAATTATCATCAATAACTATATAATCAATCAATCGGTTAATTTCAGTTGGCGTGTCTCTGAGCCAGCGGTGGATATTCCACGTTCCAATGTCGAGGTGCCATTTCATCCATAGCGCACCCACTGTTCCATTCCAACAAAGTGGTGCAAATGTTTTGTTATCGACCCCAGACAAATGATTGGCTTAGACGATTCTTGACGAGTGTTTGAACTTAATACCTTCCGATTGTTCGTCGAATGCCCTGCCACTATGTCAGCTGACCAAATGCTGTCTAACTGGCTGCAGCACTTGTGTCCCAGTGAAGGAACGGCGGCCATGGGAGAAGCATCATTGTGTTTCGCACGGAGAATGCGAGCCCCTAACCTCTTTGTCACTCGTGTGTCGTATGTCTCTCGACAGGTACGCCCTGTTCCTGCCCCTCCACCAACTCTGGCTGCAGTACATTGACGACCTCTTTGGGGGACTCAAGTCCACAACGTACGTCTCTGCCTTTCATTCATTCATTCGTCACATGATCCAGTTTTCACACTCCCAAGTTGCTCAGGTGACTAATAGCGTGTTACAGTACTTGACCAGCACATATGCACTGCTTCATGAGTGCGGGTCATGAGAGTCATGAGTGCGGTTCATGAGAGTTATGAGATTACTGAATTTTTTAATTAAGTTAAATGTGTTTGTATATACACCAAGTGGCCGGGTGTCTAAGTGGGTTCATCATAATGCCTGTGTTAGCGCAGTGAGTGGGGCGGTGGCAAGATGTTAACTACCTCGCTTGGTATGCAGGAGGTCGTGGGTTCGATCCCAACCCTGACGCCTGCTGTATATTTGGAGTTTGCATGTTCTCCCCGTGGTCGCGTGGATTTTTCTCCTACTCCTCTGGTTTTTCCCTCCACATTTAGAAACATGCCTTTAGAAAATTTGGCTGCTAGAAATTTCAACATGATAACTCACTTATCACGTGAGCTGTCATGTGTTGGCAGGTCGCTTCTGAAAAAGAGCCATATAGCTCAGTGGGCCTTGGCTGGAAAATAAGAAATGGATTTGTTTTAGAGTCGACGCCGCTGAGGTCCTGTTTTGGAAGTCCAGGTTTGTCACCTGTGTTTATTCTGGGTTCTCAAGTGTAGTGAAATAATGGTCTCAGTGCCATCATCAGTGACTACACAGAAAAAACCCAACATTTAAAATGTTATTTTAATCTAATTTGTCAAGTTCCAGCGAATAAGCACTTAAAGTGTTATTGCCATGTGATGAACACCACTGGCAGAGCTTGAGATAAGACACAATACGAAGTGTGAATAAGAGATATTTGAAGGAAACTTAGAAGTAGTTTTGACCTCACCTTCCAGAGGCCATTCATTAACATCTCCCTTTCTCGGGAGGATCCTGCCAAGATTTGCAGGAAAGGGTGATGATTGATATGTGCATTCAATTGAGTAATCTGCTGGGAATTTTCTCATCTGTCATATTTCGCCTACTCTTGTGAACGATACGACTGCATTTTCAACATCCACTGTGAAGCAGGTGGCATTTATTATTAGGGTTATTAAACACAACCGCAGTATTAATCACTCTCCAGAGGCCATTCCTTAACATCTACCGTTTTCTAAAAAGAGTTCCGCATGGAAACATCTTAGTATCATAACGTGATGCTAATAACATAAAAAAATATTAATTACCTCGGCCAAGACACAATAGAGAACCTCGTCTATAGTTTGTTGCCCTTCCCCCGCACCTCCGGTTAGCACTCCTGGCTATGTACGGTGCGAAAGAAGTTCAACATACAGACAGGCGTACACAAAGGGGTCGGCCATAGGCCTCGCGGTGCCATCGGTTCAACCGTTACTGTTGAGACTTGGGGATAGGAAGAAGGGGGTCTGTTCGGGGCTTGGGGCCCCCTAGGAAGAGGGTGGATGCTGCTACGCGCTTAACTTCAACGTTCGCGAGTAATCAAACCACGTGGATGTTTCTTACGGTGGTATCGGATGGGATGAGTTAATCGGCCACAGACGGATGACGCGACTCTGACATGAATCTCTCTCTCCCATCGTTCCAGGCGCTCGGAGCAGATCCAGATGAAGATGCTGAAGGCCGACCTACACGGAGCCATCATCACCGGTGAGGTGCAAACACGGAGTTTCGCCTGAGCAGGCTGCCAGAACAAGCGGCGTTAAAGAATGCCAGTTTGTGAACGCCAACGAAATATACAATACAATTTGGATTTATATAGCATGGATGCACAACTGCATCTCAAGACGCTGTACAAAGACAGTATTTTACATACACATCATTTAGACAGTAGTATTGTATATATAGTATATATTCTACAAGGTAGTCATAGGCAGAAGAGCAGGGGAAGTTTTATTATAATAATGCTCCTGCGCAGCTGGAAGGCGTGTGCATTTGAATCAAGTGTATGTACGTATGTTGAACTTCTTTTGCACGTACGTAGCGTTACCGTGTTCTCCAGATTAGAATGTCATCCTGAGAGTAAGATGATCTCCAAACATTTCAGTAATTTTTATAAAAAATTACCATCTAGAAAATACCGTGTCCTGGGAATGTATGTATGTTGAACTTCTTTCGCACCGTACGTAGCCAACCGTGCTCATCGGAGGTGCGAGCACGTGCAGTGTAAGGGCCCGTATTTTTTATCACGACTCTGGCTCTGGGTTGGTTCCGGCTCGAGTGAGTTGGCTCAGAGCCACGCCCAACTCAAGCCGGCCTGCACGGTCCCAGCCACACTCGGGGAATTCCGTGAGCCGAGACTGAGCTGAGCCATGGCCGAGTCGCTCACTCGTGTGTCTTTGAAAGCAGAGCGAGCATCTCAAGCCTGAGCTGATCCTGTGGGTTCGAGGCGGAGCCAAAGCTGAGTCGCGATTAATCCTCTCCCGTTCCGATGATGTGCGTACGTGCACGCCATCAGTTTTCCTTCCATTTTGACGGAGTACACGTGCGCGTACGTGTACTCTGTCGGAACGGAACCGGAAGAAAAACTAGAAATAAAGTAACTGAGGCTCCCACAAGGCGATGTGGGGGAGGGCGTGTGGCACAGAATGGCACCAGCTATCATAGTGCGCTCGTGTCGCTACAGTTCTCTGCGGTGAGAATGGTGTCTTTAAAAACAACGGCACTATGGCTCTCTAAATGAAATTAGTGCGAACCACTTGCGAGTTCCGAGATTCAGCGGTGAACGGGACTTGGAACAGGAAAGGGTTAAGAATGCAGCCCCAAGTGTGTGTGTGTGCCTAATGTGTGCATTTGCATGTACATTTGCAAGTTTACGCGTGCGTGTGTGTGTACGACCGATTCCCATAACACGCTGTAGTTGGCTCCCTTCGTGGCCTGGCTTGCCAGTCCGTTAATTACTTTTTTGAACGCCGCAGTGGAGAAGTCAAAGTGTCCCACGTACGTGGGAACGACAGGGATCATGATCCAGGAGCTCAAGAATGTGTTCAAGATCATCACGAAGGACGACAAACTGAAGGGTGAGTGGTGGTGAGGGTGACTGCAATATGAGGCAACCCACGCTCGTTCCCACGCCATCCAGCTTCCTCTTGAAACTCAAAACTAAACTTTTAATTTTACCAGGTAAGGCCCGCTAAGCTATGTAGCTCTTTTTCATAAGCGACCTGGTTATCACAAACGATCGCTCAACGAAGTGGCTTATCATCGTGTGGAAATTTATAGCAGCCAAATACATGTTTTCATGTTTTCCCCCGACGTTCAGCAGAGCTGGTGTTTTGTTTGATCATGTATCATTGTACGAGGTGAATAATATCGGCCGGAATTTTAAGGGACAAAAAAACCCACCGTGACCAAGTCCCCATAATGCACACATCATCATGTTTATGCATAAATGTTTTGATGCCACCAGTGTTTCAATTGCTTTGGGATTTACATCGATCACCACTGATATTACCCATGGCCGCCAGTGGTATTCGATGTACGAATCAGTCTGGGGCATCCCTTTTCACCGACCCGCGCTGACCACATTGCCGAAGTACGGTCAAACAACCCCCAAGAGCAGTTTCGCACGTCCGATGAGCATGGTTGGCTACATGCGGTGTGAAAGAAGTTCAACGTGTACGTACCTACGCCATGGGGAGGCGTTCACCCAGCAGGAGAATGATCAAGGGCTGTACTTCATTATTCATCGGGGTTGGAGTCTATTTGGGGTGGGTTTGCTATTGGTAGGGTTTACATGAGGCTTATAATTGACTTCAGGCTCATAGTTTAAATGAGGTTCACGATTGCCATCAAGGTTACGGTAAATTCGTTATCGGGGTGGTGATGTAGCCCAGCGGTAGTGTGCTGCCGCTTGTTACAGAGGTTGACGGTTCGAATCCAGCGGCCGCCTTGGTTAATACCGCGGTTGTGTGTAACAACCCTAATAATACGCGCCGTCTGCTTCACAGTGGATGACAAAGATGTATTCGCAAAGAGCAGGCCGTTGTGTGCCTGCGTCAGAGTCCAAATGTGCCAGATATGATAATTCCTAGCAAATTACTGATTTGGAATACGCATAGTGATCATTGCCCTCTCCTGCAAACCTTTGCAAGGTGCTCCTGAAAAGAGTTATGAGACTCGGGGAAGCTTTCCTGGGTAAACATTAATACAAATCAAATATAACAATACCATATTATGGTTTACATTAGGACTAGGATTTATATCATGGTTGACAACTGCATTGGGGTTATGGTTTATGTTAAGAGTTGTGATGCTTGAGGGCTATGATAGACAGCTGGGTTGGTGCCGGGGTCAGCAATGGTTTGCACGATGGAGGGTTTCGTGCGTCTGGGTTGTATGTACATTTGTTGTTGTTGAACTTCTTTTGCGCCTTACTTGGTCAACCATGATTATTGGAGGTACGGGGGAAGGAAAACAAACTAAACACAAGAAGCAGTTGTAAAGAAATAAGTTTTCAATTTAGATTTAAAAGCGCACAGGTCCAGGAGCTTCCTAATGTTGGGCTGACGTCGGCGGTTGGAGTTGGGTTTCTCACTAGCGTCCGTCGCCTGCAGTGATCCCCAAGCGGAAGAGCATCTTCACCGTGGCGTTTGGAGGCTTCGTGTCCCACATCTACGGCTCCATGTTATGCATGCGCTCCAGCGAGCGCTCCGCCAAGAAGTTCAAGGCCAAGGGCAGCGTGGACCTCTGAAAGGGGGACGGGACCAAGACGCCAGCAGCTTCCCTCCTTCCCGCGAGCGGTCGGCACACCTCCTGTGTGCAGCGTAGGTTTCTTTATTACATTTAGCCAACTGGCCAGCGACAAACACCGCTACTGGGAAGGTCTAATGGAGTCTGTGTTTCTTGAATTGGGGAAGGTCGTACGAACTTTTCAAATGATAAGGTTGGGAGGGAATTCCAAACTTTAGCGGCGTGATGAAGGAAGCAGAAAGATGAAAATATTTGGACCTGCAATGTGATGGTTGAATAAAGTTTGAATAGAAGCAGCCATTCTCAGCCTGGTAGACCGTATGTATGCAGATTGGGTTTTCTTCACGTCTCATTTCACATTATGTCGTAATGTAATTTTTTATGACGCACTTAAGTTGGTGTTTCCAGGAGACAAACTTATGCTGCCCATCAAGTGTGTATGTATGTAGAACTTATTTCGCACAGTACGTAGCCAACCATGCTAAGCGGAGGTGGACATCATGAGAGGGAGATGTAACGCAGAAAACAAACGGTATTCTTGGAGCTGCTCATCATCAAGGTGGTGTGTTCCGGGCTGTGGACATGGGTAATCGTATTCTTGTGGACATGGGTAATCGTCACTGGTGCTAGTCGGGTCGCCGGGTTCGTAGTGCAGCGCGCTGACCACTACACTGCCGCTGTTCCCCCCTTGGAAGCGTTTCATCTGTCCTCGCGAATACTGGAGTAAGGACCTGTTTGCGCCGGTGTTTTACATTGTGTTGTCCTGAACGATATTGTAAATATGTTAATAAAATACAGCGGCTGGGCAAAGCCCCTCTTATGACGACCACCTCGTCGCCCCTTGCCTTGTCATCAACGTCATCACCATAGACTTGAATTTGTATTAAAAATAACATGACTTCACTGCTTTAAATGTTATTTTAACATTCAATGTGGTTTTTTAATATCATTGTATTTTATTTGTGGTTAGTGCAGGAACAGGCAACTTAGGCTTTGACCGTGGCTACGTTTGCCCTCACACCCCATTTCCCATAAGGCCGTAGTATTGACAACCGCGGTTTTGTCAACCGCAGCGGTTTTCAGGAACGTGTAACCCCCGCGGGTGGCGAGGGGTTGTTGTACGACAATGTCTAAACCGTGCTGTGTCCACTGCTATATAGGACAATCTACACTACAAATAATGTAGTATACCATGGAATGTCCATTTCTCGACTGAAGACACTTTTCACAAAGTCATCTATAATAAACAAGCCAACAATCAATTTCTTTGTAAACAAACTTTGATGCCCAAGGAAAGGCAGATTGATTATCCACCTTTTTGGGCACCGTTTATTCCTGTATTTTTTTTGCAAAAGTCGTTACTGAGTAACTTACCATTACAGCAGACACTTCCTAGCTAATACTAGTATATGGCTCAAGGGAACCTCGCGACAACTATGACACTCAACACACGAAAAGCACTTGTGGCCGAGAGCTCCCTGCGCTACAGGACCTGAGCCCTCCAGGTGGGAGCTGCCACACGAGCGGGAGGAGACGCGGCCGCCGCTCATGGCACCGCGTGCTCACCGAGGCTCGACGAACGCGACCCCAGACACGAGCACCACAAGTGCGGTGCTTCAATCGCCCCGAGGCAGCCAGCTCCACCCCCTCACCTCACTGGAGCCAATCTTGGATGTATGTAGCCAACCGTGTTAATCAGGTGCGGGGGAGAACTAAGAAAAGCATTTCTACGGAAATGCGTTTATAATCTAGATTTTCAAATGCATAGCTCCAGTGGCTTCCTCTTATTGGAAGGAAGAGCGTTCCAGACGGCCACAGAGGCGCATCTGAAAGTGCATAATGCAGTAACCGTCTTTGTTTGACGGCTGGCCATAAGCCGCTGCTAGGATTGGAATTCGCATGGTTTATGCCCCTCGGCGAAACCAGCATCTTCACGTCACTACCGCCCGTTGGCTAAAACCTGATTAGCTCATCTTTGTTGGGAGCTCCTGCCCAATTGGCCAGATCTTTGGAACGTTCTTGACGTCTTCTCCCCTGTCTGGGCAGGCCTCCTGGGTTCAACTCCCTACCCAGCCTTGTCCCCCACCAAGTTAAGACAATAGGCACATTCTCTAAAATAACTTCATCCGGTGTGTGGCACTCGGGATTCGCGATTCACTCAAACACAATCAGCCTGTCAACGTGGTACGTTTATTAATGGCTCGGGAAAAATCGCATCCATGTTAAATCACGCGCACTATGGAAACTTACCGTCGTAAACTGTTCACATTTTTATCATAACGAAACTCCCAATTCATGCCAATTGGAGAAATTAATGTCGGCAGTGATGGAAAAATAGCTTTTCGACAAAAACACAACTGAATTTCATTGCAGCTTTTGATATATTTTTTACAGAGTACCGAGTCTCGTGACGCTTGACCACAATGCTAAAAATAACCACCGTAATGCATTTCAACCACACGCAACATCTAAAATGTGCACTACAGGTTCAGCATATACTTTAAAAAAAATAGGACTTGTGCAAGGGTTACGACAAGTGTCGTTTGCGAGCACCCATTAAAGGAACGTAACGAGGCAGTGGTGGCGGCAGCACCCTGTACTGCTGGCCACCTTTGTCTCCCCAGTGCCTAGGTTCATGAACACAGCAAGAGGTACTCGTTTTAAGCGGAGCGGATCTAAGGCAGGCACAGACCAGGTTTAGATTCCAATTGACACCGATGCATGCAGGAATTTAGTGAAGACAGTGGGGTTCGAAAGCAGTGTAGTGAAAACCACAACCACTGCTATACAATCACGCACGCACACACGTGACTATGGAACACTAAATATCAAGAGGTATTTTCTGTAGGTTTTTCCCCCACATTTAGATGCACCAATTGAAGTCTGCCTTCATCATGCTCATAGTATTTTTTAATTCCCAAATGTGAATTGGGAACAGACAACGTTGCATACGGCACAGGTCGAATATATGTCCACGATTAACAAACGCTGCATTTGAATCAAATGTACGCAACTCTATGTGCTAGATGTAGAGAAACACAACAATAAGTGAGGATCGATCGGGTTCAGGAGAAAGGCACTGAAGTGGCTCCCAGTGGTTGGTGCCCAAAGCGAAGCCCTAAAAATCCCGACGGGCTGAGATTGCAAGTACAACCTATAACGTACATTATTTAAGTTTATTATAGGGAAGTGCTATCGGTGATGTTAAGATGCCTTAAATCTGTTATTTAACTACACTGCCAATGTAGTCACTGGAGAGTAGATTGTACTCTCCATGAGATCCAATCACACAAAGCTTGTGACGTAAGCCACTCACAGAAATAACACATTTTTATTTATTAAAGCACAGATCAGTGAATGTTACATGTATTGCTGCACAATCTGTATTTAATAATTACGTAGGATAACAAAACCTATGTAACTACAGCATGGTTAATTCCTAAACTGTTGGCCAAAGGGAACTCCAGTGGCAGCTGTCTGTACAGCAGAAGGTGTACGTGATACTGGGCTACAAGTCAGCATTGGTGGTCTGCCTGTAGGGGATGATGTTTGCTGTGTGGTTTTCCCAAGTGGGACTTCTAAGAATTGAGTTTAGAATTTTTTTTTACCACATGTTCAAACCTTTGTCAAGCAATCCAATTCTAACCAATTTACACTCCTTTATGGTGTTTGCATCCTGTTAAAATGCAGCTCTCCGCGTGGATTCTTGTGGTGCGGTGAACGAGTGGTGGTGGAGCAAAGGTAATAGACATGGAGCTGTGATTCAGTGCTTGGCGCATTGCGCTATGACCCCAGCAACCTCGAGTTCAATTCCTGGACACGGCTAACATCGACGGTGAGCGAGCAATATCCGAACAGGTCCTGGGTTCCTCCCCGCCACCTTCAACCCACATTGACCAGTCTGGAAGCACAACCCCCATGGCCAATGCAGCGTGGAGGGAGAGGCCTTTAAATAGCAGTGGACTAAGGGGCTGTACGTCATACCTGTCAACCCCTTATCAGTGCCAAACTTATTCTTTAAGTCACATAGAAACATTATTTTAAAATTATTCACCTTATTATTTTTCTATCAACGTCACTTTCCCGAAAGAACCAAAGAATATGAATCCCCGCAGTCACAAAAGTTTTAAGTCAACATTTAGTGCCGACCTTATTACAGACCAATTCAGACCTTATTGGTCACGCCGTGCCCTTATAAATCTCAAAGTTCATCCTACAAGTCGAGATCTGAAGTTGTCGTGACTGCAATGATTCATACTCTTTGGTTCTTTCGGAAAAAGTCACGTAGGTATAAAATTAAATACAAAAAAAAATCACGACGTTTCGTGATTTAATGCCGGACGCTTGTGTTGCTTCCGAAACGTCATTTAAACATTTTTTGTATTTTATACCTACGTGACTTTACCGAAATAACCAGAGAGTATTCATCCCACAAAATCCCATCACAAGGGAGAAACGTCTGTATGCCGTTATGGAGCTAAAAACTGAATTCATCTGTACAAGAATACGGGTAAACCGCATGGGTTGACAGGTATGTGTACATACACATAGATTCATACGTACACACACTGTCTGTGCAGCATTGGGCAGGTTGACTTCCTGCCCTTAAAGAAGAACACAATCGCTCGCAGTGATTATTGACACCAAGTGTAAAACAAAGCTCGTACATGAATATGCTTTGTCTGTATTTTGGTCGGGTGAAGTGGGGAATGCCGATGATCCAGTGCTCTGGATCCAAGGGTTGGTGGATCATTCAGAGATATGCGACGCTCCCAAAAGCTGCGAGACTGTGAGGTGGCCAGCCGATTGCAGTACAACAAGCAGGCCCACGAACCCATCTGTGCACCTCCGATTAGCGCGGTTGGCTACGTACGGTGCGAAAGAAGTTCAATGTACATTATCCCCATGTATGGGTGTGTTTTTCAGGTGTGTTGATTCCCTCGCATGCACACGAAACATTTCTGGATTTAAAAAAAATGGAACTGACCAAGCATCTCAGTGCAGAAACACCTCTTGAAACGGAGTCGTGAGACTCAGTGAGACTTCCCGGATAAACTTACATTATTTGAACCATCTAAACAATCGGCAGACATGGGACGATGAAGCATGCGGACTGGAGTTTAATGACAGTTCTAACGAATCACAAATTCCCACAAAAACTATATATATATTGACAGGATGTGTTCCAGCGTGCACATTCTGATCACAGTAGCACTGTGTGTTGGGTTTAGGCAACTAATAGTGGTTTGCACCCCGCCCCCCCCCATTCTGCAGCACTACGTTTTAGGTTTTAATGCAAAAACATAACCCCCACCCCCTCCCCAAAATAAATAAGTAATAAATTAATTCCCACTGTGTAATTATAACCATGAGAATCTACACCTATGACTCGCCAGGTAGAGCGTGGCTAAGTCGACTTGAAAGTACGGAGGTTTAACGGTACGTAAACAAATTGCAATTCTTGCCTGCACATAAGGGGGGACACATGCACAGCCACTGCAACATACTGAACTTTGCTGTCCGTGACAACAACAACAAAACAACAAAACAACAGCCAAGCAGTTTTGAGTGCCTGTCCAGAAAGCAAACTGCAGACTGCACGAAAATAAGATCGTACGGGGGAGGCTTGGGGAGATTCAAAGAGACATGGGTGAAGCATGGGTAGAGTTTCAGGGAGACGCAGGGAGGTGCAATGGAGACAAGGGGAGACGTGGGCAGGTGTAAGGAGACATGGGGAAACATTCGGGAGGTGCAGGGAGACATGGTGGAGATGTCTGTCTGGTTTGCTGCACACACAGCAGACCAGATGGACATCTGTATACACAGCCAGCAGTCAAATCAAGCGCAGACCTCGGGCATTGAATAGAATCAACACGAAACGAAAGCGGTCTGTGTAGAAACGCAAATCACCGGGGCAAGTGACAAGCAGCCAATTGAAGCCTGGGTTTCAAACAAGTAATTAAATGCATCCATGATACAACGCACGGTGCAGAAACTTCACAAGCAGCAGGGTACATCAATAAAACATACCTCCAGAAGCAAAAACGCGGACCACGTGCAGTGATCCAATGCCATAAATAAGACGCTTGGTAGCGCTGGCGCTGCTTCCTCGAGTCATGCCTCTCGCGCATCAACTTCCTGTAATTCAGGGTGTGGGGCCAGGCTCACAGAGAGAAGAGGTCGCCCGCCGAGGGCAGTGGGGCCAGGCCGCCCGTAACGTTGGGCAGCTGAGAGAGGTCGGGCAGACTCTGGATGTGCGCCTTCAGCTCCCTCCTCACCCACGTCACCCTGTTCAGCTTCTGTTTGTACTCCTGGGAGCGCACGGGGAAGGGAAGAGACGCGCAACAACACGGTTTTAAATTAGATTGAAAAATCTAATTTTGTATTTTCTCATTAGTCCCGTTTCATTCTTTATAGTCACGCGTACGGACGTTATAAAGTCACGACGCTGCGTGATGTCACGTGGATGGAAAACGCATTTAGATTGAAAACTAATTTCTTGAGAACCGCTTTTTGTGTTTAGTTTGTTGTCCTTCGCCCGCACCTCCGATTAGCCCAGATGGCTCGGTACGCTGCGAAAGAAGTTCAACATACACACATCCCGTGGCCCACCAGCACCATTGCATTATACGGCCCGTCGGAAAATACGGTTGAGGAACCCTTCCAGTGCCATAGCAGGGGCGTGGTGAGGAGGTCACCCTGGGTACCCCTCCCGAGCGGGAAGACGAAGCCAGCGGCAACAACGACCGTCGGCGACTCCAACTCGCCAAAACTTCTCGGCCACGCGTCCACACCCATCGGTTGACTCGGCAATTAAAAAACGACCGCGCCTGCCCCCGCACCTCCAGCCTGCGCTCCTTTTCGCGCAGCTGCTCTTGCTGCCGGCGCGTGTAGTCGGCGAGCATGCGCGCCAGCTGCCGCCGGTCCTCCAGCTCGGCCGCCAGTCGCCCGTTGTAGTCGGCGAGCAGCAGGCACGCGTCGTCCACCACAAGCGTCAGCCGCTCCGCCGACTCCCTGTCTGGGCTCACGTGCCACGCGGGTGGCCCGAGACCATTCATCCACCACACCATCATTGTCGTCGCTTACACATTCGCGATGCCCCTCCCACGCGGTACATCTACCCCCCCCCCCCCCCCCATGGGGTGCATAACGAGGCACCCTGAGGCAGTGGACCCCAGGTGGCAGCTGTCCTTGTGTGGAACAAAGGTGAATGCGGTGCCATCGATGTTGCCATAGGGCTTCCCAAATAAATACAGGGTGCTTCAAAACATTTTTAACACTTAAATGGGACTATCGTTTTTAATCGAAAAAGAACGGATAATACTCTGTAACATGATAACAATTGTCATGTTAATAGCTTCAAAACGTTAAAGAGTCTCCACTTGTTCGCCATTGTTGTCAACGCGTGCCTGGAATCTTCTTGTGGTGTTGCAAATTCTCAGAAGTGTTAACTTTTTTTTAAACACCTTGTATATGCACGAAATGTATCTATTTTTTACAGTGACGCCACCACACATGACCAACTACAAGTGCAAGACTGCGTTTTACACTTTGTTGTATGGTGCATGCACTGCACTGTATCACTCCATTGCAATATGGTGCTGTACAATATGCGCTGCACATTCGTGTGTTGCACTGCAATTGGACTTTTTTTTATTTCGTGACACAGAGCTGCGTTGTTTAGCAATATATTTCAAAGCTGTATCCCATTATATTATGTTGAACTCTATTATAAGCACAGTTGGCTACGTACGGTGCGAAAGAATACATTGCACTGTATCATTGCATCACATCGCACAGCACTGCATTGCATCACAATCGCTCTCGTGTACTGTCACGTTGTATTATACCGCATTGGTCGACACTGCCGCAAAGTCCGAGTGGGGAGGGGCGTACGCACCGGTGATCCTTGACAGCTGCGATACGTCCTGCACCGCGAGCGGCAGCGACGCAATCTTCCGTCTCACGGTGGCGTCGCTCGAAGCGGCGCTCTCCAACTCCGTGAGGACTCTCACCAGCTCCCCCGCCTCTCGTCACCACCGCCACCACCACCACCCCAGTACAACACAGATGTAGAAGATGGCCAGCACATGCATGAACGTGTCACGGGAGGTCACAACCTAAGTAGAGACCTGTAATTGCGCCTGGAATCGAGAAAGCCATTCTGGAGCATGGCAAGAAAGACCAAGTCGCAAGCTGAATAGCGTTGAAAACTGGTGGACAAAGTCTCGTCAAGGAGCATAAACCATCGCGCAAACTCCAGTCATCCTTGCAGCAGCGGCTTTTGGCTAGCCATCAAACAAAGATGGTCACCGCATCACGCGCTTTCAGATTCGCTTCTGCGGCCGTCTGGAACGGCTCTTCCTTTCAATATTAGGAAGCCACTGGACCTATACATTTTTAAGTCTAGATTTAAAACGAATTTCTGAAGAATAGTCTTTGGTGTTTAGTTTGTTGTCCTTCCCCGCACCTCCGATCAGCGCAGTTGGCACGTACTGTGCGAAAGAAGTTCAACATATATACATACGTCAACTTAATTCCAAATAAGCTCGATCACCATCCAGACATCAGAAAGTTCACTGCCCAGCAAGTACTGGTCTACATCATATTCGAGAATTGGCCATAGAAGGTAAAATCACTTTTTCCCAATGGAAAATAAATTATCTGCAAAATTCGACTGAAGCGCACCGCAAAAGTGGAACACGTCGTGAACTCAGTCCATTGCGAGCCTACGGATCTGTGTGAAGTCTACGGAGATCTGTGCGAGTCTATGAGTCTCTGTGAACGCGTGTCCACTGCATGTCTATGGGTCTCTGTGTGAACGCGTGTCCACTGTATGTCTACGGGTCTCTGTGTGAACGCGTGTCCACTGTATGTCTACGGGTCTCTGTGTGAACGCGTGTCCACTGCATGTCTATGGGTCTCTGTGTGAACGCGTGTCCACTGTATGTCTATGGATCTCTGTGTGAACGCGTGTCCACTGCATGTTTATGGGTCTCTGTGTGAACGCGTGTCCACTGTATGTCTATGGGTCTCTGTGTGAACGCGTGTCCACTGCATGTCTATGGGTCTCTGTGTGAACGCGTGTCCACTGCATGTCTATGGGTCTCTGTGTGAACGCGTGTCCACTGCATGTCTATGGGTCTCTGTGTGAACGCGTGTCCACAGCGAGCGATCTCCGAGGGCATGAGTAGGATTCAATTTGTTGAAGCCGGCAGCCATCTTTACAACCTAGACACTGATTTGTAGTTGTTTCTAAATTAATATCCATACAAAATAAGAACACTATCAATGTATATTCTTGGTTCTTTCGGTAAAGTCACGTAGAAGGAAAATAATAAAATAATACAAATATGAGGCTATTGACATATACAAACATAGAGACAATTTCAACCGAGAAGATGGATTCTGGCTTAGCAATCATTGGAAGGATTTGATAAACCATTTCGGGTCTTAATTGATTGTGTTCACGCTTAGGGTGACTTTCAGACCGCATTCCATTTTCTGCTCCCCCCCCTCCTCTGTTCCGAACATAGATGGACTCGTCCATCTGGCCAACTGCCAAATCGCTGTCCGTGGTGCTGACGTTAGGAAAAACTGCCACTTTTAAAAAAAATTCTTGCTGTGGATTTCACACCTGATGATGATTGCTTGTGTTGCAGTCGAAACGTCGTGAGAATTTGTATTGTTTTATATTTGTATTATTTTATTATTTCCCTTCTACGTGACTTTACCGAAAGAACCAAGAATATGAATCCCTGCAGTCACGAAAGCTTGAAATCAAAACTATACATGTAATTAATACACTTAAGATTTACAGTTCTTTAACATATAGTAATCATTAACAAAACAATAATTTAACATTTGGAAACATTTCCAATTTTAAGCAAATAAGTCACACATCGCTACAGTTTAATGCGAGTAAACTTCACCTCTATAAGTGTGCATCTTAAAATTACATTTGATTAATGATAAAAAATAGAAATATTTTTATACAATTTAACCCTAAAGAGAGCGGAAGGGGTGTCACAATCGGAGCACGTGGTCGCCTGATGCACCACAGGGTCCACTATTGCGTCCATCTCCCATGTGTTCTGCTAGCAGTGGGGCCTTCCATTCTCCAATTTTTTATCATTAATTTTTGTGCGAAAGGTATTCCAGCTGGAGTCTGTTTTACTTATGGGGAAGTATTCTGGCATACCTCAAAAGTCCATCTCCAACGAATCTGGCTTCTAGAGGTTTTCCTGACACACAGAGACAGAAATGCCACGGTGCCGCCAACTCAGTCACCTCGGGCGGTTCCTTGGGCGAAGCATTCTCCAGGTAGTGGTCGTCCTCCATCACGGCCGCCGGCAGTACCACCACCTTCTCCTCATCCTCCTCATCGTTCTCCTCCTCTTCTTCCTCTGCCTCCCGACGCCGCCGTGTTGGCTGGACGGGCACCGTCAGCTCGCGCGTCCGCTTCTTCGCCTTTCTCTCGCCTGCACAGTGCAGACGCAGCACAGCGTGGTTCTTGCACAAGCAGCATGCTCAGCCAACGCCACCTTGCTCTGGGTACAAGCCACGGGAGATACCATGCACAAAACAACTACCATCGCCATTTGCTGATAAGTGGCAGTGATGTCACCCTGGCACTTGAGGGAGGTCGGATGCATTTTAGGTCAAGGAAAGTAGCCAGGTGGTTATATGGACAAATTCAGATGTTATAGGTTAGCCACCCAAACGTCGAAAAGACAAATATCCTCCATATGGCCTTAAACAGACTGTCAAGTGTTGTTAGAGAGCACCTATGAAGGCTGGCACAGCACATGGGGAGGTAGATGGCCAGCACCACACCCGGCCGCCTTTGTCTCCCTAGTGGCGATGTTTACACACCACAACAGGTACTCATTTGAGGCTGAGTTGACCTCGGGGAGGCCCAGGACCGGTTCAAGTAATTGTCACGGGTTCAGAGTGCAGCGGGCTAACCGCTTCACTACCGCTCCCCCACACGTCTGCACACATTTGAGCCTGTGCTCCTGCTCACGTGTCGGTGCACCTGCCCGTACTTGCCGCCTGCAGTAGCTGCTCGATGAAGTCCCCATCGTACACGGCTCTCTCCTGCCAGATGTGGAGCAGCCGCTGCATGGGCGTCTGGCACCCGTCATCCGCCTCTCTGCACGCACATGAGACAAACAGTGTAGCATTCACAGGCTGCTCTTCGAGAGATTCAAACAGATTCTTCATATAAAAACTAAACTATTTTTACTTTAGCAGGTAAGGTCCACTGAGCAATACAGCTCTTTTTCAGAAGTGACCTGGCCACAAATGATAGTTCAACAAAGTGGCTTACCATGTGGAAAGTTTCCCAGCCAAATACTCTAAACACATGTTTCTAAATATGGAGGGAAAAACCAGAGGACCTGTAGAAAAATCAATGCAACCAAGGTGAGAGAGATGGGCAAACTCCAAATAGACAGGCGTTGGGATCGAACCCACACCCTACTGCATACCAGGCGACGGAGTTAACATCTCACCACCATGGCACCCATATCATGACCGCACACCGTTCAGACCTGGCCACGTGGGAGAAGGCGTCGAGCAGCACTGAGGAAAACTCCCGCGTGAGCTCGGGGCCCTTGCGCTTGCTGTTCTGGATGACGTCGTTGGCCAGGTAGAGGTAGGTGAGCTTTCGGCTTGGTTTCGCTACACACATTCCCATCGCCAACAGGCATACGTACAGACATGCAATAGTCCACAAGCCAGGACCACATATTTAAACAAAACTTCTTATTTTACCAGGTAAGGCCCACTGAGCTATACAGCTTTTTCAGAAGCAACCTGACCACAAATGATAGCTCAACAAAGTGGCTTATCGTGTGGAAATGTATAGCGGCCACATACTCTAAACACACGTTGATTCTAAATGTGGGAGAAACCGGAGGACCCGGAGAAAATTCCACGCCACCACAGGGAGAATTTCACTTGTCCGTAACATCCGAGAAACACAAACTTTGATGTGTCCAATTTATGTGGCCAATAACGGTGAATTTTGTGAAAACCATTTGAGATGAGTGGGGTTATCAAACAATTGATACCACTCAGGTGTTGTTACCTTAGAATCCTTAGATGGTGCTCTGGCACATGAATGGTAGAGGGTGCAGGAGTGGTTCCCACTCTAGTGAACCACACTGCATTCACTATGGACTTAACTACCCGAGTTCGAACCCTGGCCACGGTTATCATCAGTGGCAAGGATTATATTTTTTAAATCGGTCCCTTCTATGATCGATGTTTCCCAAAGTGCACAACACTAGAACACAGTGTGCACACTATACTGTGGTATAGATTCAATAAGAGTGTGTTATTCAATACAGCAATATTTACCTCATGAATTATAGCATTACATTTTCACGTGCAATATGAAAAATGTTTACAATGTACAACACTGTATATTACTCGACCGTAGTATGTAGGGTATAATATTGTAACATTCTTATAATGTTGTATATGATAATGTATGTTTTTATTTATTTATTCAAATGTTTGGTTATCTCTCTTGAAGCTCCCGTGTCAATCGCCCGCAACCACCGTGCAAGGAATGCAACACGTTCACGTGTATTAAATACAGTCTAACACGTGCTGTGTATATCTCTATTTCCAAATTGGATTACCTGAGGCTGCCGTACCCAAGGCGCCCAATGTCCCCGTGTTGACCTCACACTCTGCAGTACGATACAAGGCTGGTCCACATGTCTTGTGACCCACAGTTAATTGACCCCCCCCTCACATATTTTTTTCTCTTTGCATATTCACTTGTTTTAAATAAATATTTACTTTAAAATATATATTAAGTTTTAGAGGATTCAATGGGGGTCACAAGACATCGGGGTTCTATTTTGTCAGCTCAGGCCCCACTGAGATATGCCGCTCACCGAAGCGGCTCATTACCGTGCGGAATCTAGAGCAGCCAAATCATCTCAAACGCACGTTAATAACTGTGGAGGGAAACCCAGAGAAAATCCACGCAACTACGGGGAGAGACAGAGAGATGCAAACTCCAACTACACAGCAGCGGCAGCAGCAGCAGCAGCGGCAGCAGCAGGCGTCGTCAGGGTCGGGCTGGGACCCGCGACCTCCTGCGCACAGCGCGGTACACGACTCTGCGCCCCGTAAAACAGCGCAAATGCAGCGGCGTTTCTCCGCACGCCGTAACGCGCGTGTGTAGACAACGACAACAACAACAGCAACACAGATATGAGTCTGTTCCTACTGTTCTTGAGGCTGCCGTGCCAGACCCTGGCGATGGTTCTCGCGTGCTTCCTGTGGTGGATGAGCCACAGCGACAGCGTCTGGACGCTCTGCTGAGAGTTGCTCAGCTCCGACAACTTCTTCTCGAACGCCGCCTCAGAAAATGCCGACATTGCTCACTCGCCGCCGACTGTGGAGATTACAATTAAAGTGAAATAAAAAAATGTAACTCGTAGAAAAAAGAAAGGAAATGGGTTTTAGTTGAAGTTGTAAAGAAAATATAAATCCCGGGCCCCGCTGGCCGGGCGCAGTCGAAGGCGGCTAGGCCTCGGCTCCTACGGAGGCCCGTGAGGGGCACGTATGGGGGGGGGGCGGGGGGGAAATCGCGTTTCGAATAACTCAGAAGTGAATGAAGGGCTGTTACATTAATTGCACTTGTGGCAAATGATATGTTGGGCGAATGATCAGCACGAGACTAAAACAACACCAAGTAAATATTAAATTATCCCAAATACAACGGTCGGCAGTGGCAGAACACGCTTTTGATAATGTTGAAGTTCTGTGCAAAACTAGCTACTACAAGGCAAAGACTCATAAGAGAATCTATCGAAATTGAGAGAATGATCAAATAATACATTGTTTAAATGCATGCCTATACAGGTCAACAATGAGCTCGCATAACGCACATGCATAATGAACTTTGATTAGCATATACATAGCCCAACCGGTAATGGATATACATTATCATTTATATGCATTCACTAACACCCCCCCACATCACATCTACCCCTCTGTTTAAGGAAAGAAACAGGACTTCTCCACAACTCTGGCTATCGCCTGATGAAGCTAGTTGTAATTACTGGCGAAACGTCGTACTCAGATTGTAAATGTTGTGGCTTGGCTCTCCAACACACCGGTGTGCTGTACTAGTGCACTACACTATACACTACACACTAATGCTGTACTTGTGACGAATTGGCACGTTCTGTTTACGTGACAAACCTTACTAGTTGTCTGTGTCGGGTGGTGGCGGGTTTAACGACACATTTACATATTTACGCGATAGAACCCGACAAAGCTGTATTATGGATTATATTTGTCGCGAAAGCCTACGTGTTTTATTGAATACTGGGCTGTTAAATTAATTGTTTGGTCGGATTAAACTTTCTCAGTTATGGTAATAATAAAAATATAACAGATCGGATCAGATCACGAATTGTGTGTACTGTGTTAAATCGAACCTGGATCTTATGTTTGCTCATGATTTTGGAAATCTTTTTGGTGACCCCTGCTATGTATGGTAAGGTGATGGTTTTGATTGGGTCCTCAGATGGTTCTTTACCTACGGTTGGGGTGACAGCTTTACGGATTGTGTAGTCTGAATATCCATTCATCTTGAGGGCTTGGTGTACGTGCTCCAGTTCACTGGAAATCCGAGCTCTATGGTATAGAGTTTTGATGAGTGAATTGTTCTTGGATGGATGGTGGTGGGAGTCAGGTTTTAGATAGGCATCCGTATGCGTGGCTTTCCTGTAGACAGTGTCCCATTGAGCCATCTGGTCTCTTTTCGATTAAAACATCCAAGAATGGTAACTTGCCATCCTTTTCCACCTCCATAGTGAATTTGATGGCTGGGTGTATGGAATCGATGTGGTTGAAGAATTGGTTCAGAGCTGGCAGGCCATGTGGCCAGATGACAAACGTGTCATCTACGCATCTCTTCCACAAGGACGGACGTAGAGTGGATGCCTGGATGACATCTGTCTCAAACTTTTCCATGAAAACATTGGCTACAACTAGAGATAAGGGAGAACCCATCGCGGTACCTTCAACTTGTTTGTAGAATGTTCCATTCCAGGTGAAGTGTTGGTGAGGCAGTGTTTCACTAGGGCCGGTACATCAGCATTCAGTCCTTGTTGGACCAAATCTCCAATCATTGCAATGGTGTCCGGCACAGGAACTTTGGTAAACAAAGATACATCGAAACTAACGAGCAAATCACCTGGAGATAGTGAGATGTCCTTAATTTACGATACCAAGTGAGCTAAGTACAGCTGAGGTGGTCTTACCAGTGAATGGATGTAAGGTCTCAGAAATCGGGCCAGTTTGTAGGTGGGTGAGTAAATGGTGGAGACGATAGGACGAAATGGTGTGCCTTATGGATTTTTGGTAAACCATACAATCTGGGTGATCATCTACATCATGGGATCTCCTTTGCACGTACCAAGTTTAATTTCCAGGACTTTTTGGCCAAATATTAATCCGTATTCAAATGTAGTTATACCTGATGACGACTGCTTGTGTTGCAATCGAAACGTCGTATCCGATTATTTAATTGTAATTTTTTCTACGTGACTTTGCCGAAAGAATCAGAGTAATTCATCAGTATGTCATCAAATACAGGTTTGACTCGCTTTACGCGGTTTGTTTTTGCGATGTCACGTGGCTTGCCGATATCCATCCAAAATTAGCTAAATTGCGGTGTGACTTCACTCGCATGCGGCCAGTTGTGGAAAAGCATTCAGTGAACTTCTTTCGCACAGTACGTAGCCAACCGTGCTAATCAGATGTGCGCTTGTGTGTAGTGCGTGTATACTGTGTGTATACTGTGCGCCTGTGCGTAGTGTGTAGTGCGTACTGTGTAGTGCGTACTGTGTAGTGCGTAGTGTGTAGTGCGTACTGTGTAGTGCGTACTGTGTAGTGTGTACTGTGTGCGCTTCTCGACAGGCAGCCGTCTCGTGTGGTGCACCGTGGTGGGTTGTTTGACGTGCGGTTAATGCTACGCGATTTCACTTTTGTGCCCCTTTCTTTGTAAATAAAACCTTTAAGCAAAATTGTTTTCATAGAAGGTAAAGGCGCAGCTCTGAAATTGCTTGCCCACGTCACTGCTGGCAGGGGAAGCTCTCAAACCTAGATGACCTTTCGAGGTAGCTCAACGTATTCCATGCTGGCCGGACCAGAGTACCTGCACTTTACCCCAAGCACACGACCTGCAGATCCATTGCGTACAACACTCAATTATACTGATGGGTGGACGCGGCAAATGGCAAGGCGAGGTTTAGAAAACTCGCCCATTGTTTCAACTGCCACGCCAGGAGATCGAACCGACGTCTGGATTGCAAGTCCAGTGTGCTAATCATGAAACCTCAACAGCATCACACATTGTTGAACTTCTTTCGAACAGGGTGTAGCCAACCGTGTTAATCAGATGTACAGGAAGGAGTTCTAAAAAAGCTTCAAATCTATATTTAAAAGTGCATATCCCCAGTGCCTAAAATCGGAAGAGCGTCCCAGACGGCCGCAGAAGCGCATCTGAAAGTGCGAGACGCAGCAACCGTCATTGTTTAATAGTGAGCCGAAAGCCGCTGCGAAAATTACCAGAAATTCATCACGGTTTTTGCTCTGACGAGATCAGCAAGGTATTGTGGTTCATTTGTGGCAATGTGTAATGAGCGCGACCTTATAAAAATGAGTGCGGCCTTATGAGAGTAGCATGTTTTTTTATTAATACAATATGCAAATAATGTTGACTTAGGATAATCAAGACAACAAATTGTAAAAATTAGAATACCAGATATTTAAACGATACAAAAAGTGTTTAACCCAATCACATTATTGAATCATCCGCATGAGGTCAATCGTTTTTAACCCCTAGTGTTTTAATGAACTTTTCACAAACATACACACTAAAAAAACTCACAACAATTCAAGTAACGTCACATTTAAACTCTTTATTGAAGTGTTTTTTTCTCAGAAGTTACAATAAAAGTGGGTTCCTATCTCTAACCATGAAACTGTCACTACAAGTTTACATTACATCAGAATCCACACGCTAGCTCAACGAATTCCACTTTCTTTTTCGTATCTCGTGGCCTAGCCTTGCCTGTGGCCCGATGATAAAAAAAGAATAAAAAATTATAATACAAAAACAAAAAAAACTATGCTTGAGTCTGTCTTGCGCGCTTATGCCAGAAAATAAATACAATGAAGGGTGATCTATAATTAAATGGTTCGCGACTGAAATGAATGTAAACTGGGGGCGGGGTGGAGGTTGCTTCCGATACATTAATTTTCACCTCTAGCAGTTTCCGCAACAATTAATCGATTTCATAACTGTAGCTGCATGAGCTTTTAAATACGCAAGTTTCAATACTCAAAAAGGTGGTCACAGCGTAGAAAACACGTCAGCATAACTGCCCAAAAAATGCTTGCCGACTGAAACGCGGCAAGATCTCTTCGTCACCCAATTTTGGAAAAATAACATAACAATGATAAAATAATAATCGCAAAAAACCAAACGGCTGCCGGAATTTTATTTATGATTCCCCCCCCCCCCCCCCCGTATCAATCGATTAATTGGTGCCATCAAATAAAGAGTCTTCCACCGATCTTCAAAAGGGGAATTTAGCGCGAGTGTGATCGAAACTAGCTCGGGGCTTTAGCTAACACAGGGCCCTTTCACTGAAGAGCAAGAACAGCAAAGTTCTGGTGTTCTCCATCAGGACACCTGCAAAGAGAGAAGACTCAAGACAAGGTAAGAGACGGCAAATCATCTCACAACCAGCCTGCGTGCAGCACAACGCTTTCAACAAACTAGAAAAAAATCCACGAAATGGTGTACATGTCATTATCTTAACATTGTTGTTCTTGTTAACTTTACAATTTTTTGTTTTTTTTTAAATAATTAGTAACAAAAACCCCAACATTGCCCCACGAAAAATTCACTTTGTATTTTTTTCTTTTCTTCCTTTTCTCTTCTCTTTTTTTCCTTTTTTTTCTTTTTTGTTTTTTTTGTGTTTGGCTTTTTTGTTTTTTTTGTTTTTAAATCCATCTTAGTAAGGTGAAAACCATGTGCTCGCTCTACCCCGGCCCCTAAAAAAAGAGAGAGTTACAAGAGACAGGTCATGACAAAATCACAGAGAGGGAGTGAACGCAATAAAAAACAAGACCCAAAAAATAGTAACAACACTCTCAAGCAACATCAATGGCACTAACATCCACCACGCCAACGTCACAAAGGACACTCGCGAGCGCAATATTCATTCACGCTCCCTAGGGTTGTTAATTTTGGTTTTAGCACGTTAATTACATGCAAAACAATACAAATATACATAGGCAATAATGCATATTATTATGAAGTTTAGTCAAACATGTAAGGCTTTCATCCAGCAGTGGATTGACAAAAGGGCTATTTTTTTGTAATGCTTTGTCATGTGACCAAGCACCTTTCATTATACGGCATTGATTAAACTTTTGCAAGGCAATCTGTTACTAAAATTTTACCGGATTTAATGGAAGCAATGCCTTTTGGAAACAATTAACAACCCTAATCCTTTCACGCCACCTAAATTGTCCAACTTACAACGTGAGTGCGGATGAGCAGTTGAAAAGTATAAATCATTGTATCCTCTGTAAACAGAGACTTTGTCGATGACAAAATCAAAATTTTGAAATCAACAACACACACAAACTATTAAGCAACGTTGCACATGTATAAATAATTGGTGATGATTGCATCCCTTCATATGGAAAACAGCAAGCCAACAGTGGTGGCATCAAATGGTACCATACACAGGAATGCGGCATATCCACCCACTGTCTAGAGACACTCATGGGGACAGGCAATACCCTATTGAAACACTTTGCTTGAGAAGTGACGGTCTGGCCAATGATAATGTCCCCTTTTAGCTAAACATGTTATAGCAGATGATACTGTTAGCACGCATATATTTAGGTCAACACAGAAGAATAGTGGACAGCACCACACCCAAGCTCCCTTTATAAACTGCCGATGACCACTCAACAAGCACTAAATTCAGGCAGAGTTGAGACCTCGGGAAAGGCCAGCGAACAATCCCTAGAGTTTAATTGCCAGATGTCAAACCCACGTTTCTGGGATATTAATGCAGTCAACCTTGCACAACACTGCCACTCCTCATGCACAATTACTCTCCAAAACCCCAAATTCGTGCCCTGGAAATAGAAAAACTTCAAAAACCTATCTGCTCAAAAAAGGTATATGCCTAACAGCCTATGTATAATGTATCATTAAGGATAAAAGTTAACTTCTACATTCGAAACTAACACTATCTTAAAAAGAACAATTATATACCATTCAAGATAGTATTACACTTTTAATGGCCAGCATTAAACAATTATGTGTGGTCCATAAAGGACCAAAGTGGTTATTTATTTAATTAAAAGCATAAAGCTACAGTTTATCACAATATCTCTCCCCCAAATTGCCACGAGTAGGTGAATTTAGATAGAACGTGACAGCCTAAAGGTAACAAGAGAAGTTTTCCTAAAAGCCTCACAAATTAACAGATCTCCAAGTCAAACTAAGTAAACTATCCCAAAAAAAGAAAGACCATGAGATTGTGGAGATATTAGTGACTTGCTAAGTGTTCAAATAACACACACAATTGCAATACAGAAAACTCGGCAAAATCGCCTAACAGTGCAGCAATGTAAAGATGCTCCAACCTTCACAGTTTTACAGGTGTGGTCAAGTGCCTGGGCTTCAATTTCATAAATGGAAGTGGAATTAAAAATGTCCAGTATGTTTTGCCAGTGGCTCCTTTCCGTAAACGTCACTCAGCACTTATGACTGAGAACAATTATGGTGTCAGGCAGATGCAAAAGCGTAACATTTCTAACAAGTGTTTATAAAACACACGGTGGTCAAAATCCCACAAGAATTGCACATAATGGGTTGCCATGATCTCCGCAAACGACTCTAGCGACCCAGCCTTCAGGTGCGGAATGCCAGAAGTCTCCACGTGGAATTGCATCTCAAGCATAAAAAAATAGCTGGGGGTGGGAGGCAGGATCACTTCAGATATCATATGCCACTGATATTAGCCATGACCTGGAACTGAACTCAGGCTAAATTAAGTTTTCACTTGCAATTGGGTGTTAACTGTGGTTGAGAAACAGGTTTATGGTGCAGTTCGTCAGCCACTAACCACTGCTTTAAACTACCAATGGAATATTCCCCCTTGTTTGAAGAGCCATTGCCCTACACTATAATTTTCTTTAATTCAGGGCAATGATTGTTACTTTAGAATTACATTTTTATTCCAAATTGAATTCCCACTGTGCTGTTAGAATCGTTCTGGGACGAAGACATTTCCACCTGAAACTCTCACAGTGAGCAGTGTCGTGTCACCTTGCGTCAGACAATGGCCCCCAACAGACAACGGCACAGAACTACTTCTGAAGTCACTTCGATAGCCACTTATCCACACAAAAAAAGCCACAAGGCAGTGTTAACAAAGGCCGTGGTGAGGCGTTTTATTCCCTCTCTGCAAACAAATATATGATAAATTGGCTGCGATCAAATGACATTATTTAATTTACAAGACATGTGGTGAAGTATGGTTTAAATATCCATCACAGCCAGCAAGGCGTGGGGGGAGGCCTTCATCCAGCAGTGGACTGACAAAAACAAGCTGTACATGTAAAAGGGATGAAACGATTTCTCTCCCATCAAGATTTGTTTAACTGCCATGATTTGAGAACACCAATTGATTCGAGAATGGATTATTATTTTAATCTTATTTTTTCCATTTTATCGATTTCGATTGAACTGTCTGGGTTTGACGAGACCATAATGGATTTTTTTTTATCAATGCCCACGAGTCTAAAATAATCCATTCATATGCACACAATTCATCGCACAAATTGTGAGCATAAAGTCTAATGAAATTCACCAACCTTTACATACCGAGCGATTACAGGAGCATCCACCACAAAAGTGAAAGTTCCGTAAACAAACTCCGATTATGGCTTGCACGATAAACTTTTGGCCTACCCAGCACAGCGACAACAGCCCATACTGGCTGAGACCTTTGGGGGGACAGAGGGATGGTGTGTGCGTGCGTTTCACCGGTGCAGCGGGTCCCCTACCTGAAAGCTCGTCCTCGCGGGCGGGAAATATACCCGCCACCGCCGCCACCGTAGAAGCGGCTGCCGCCACCCCGCGGCGCGAACCCGGCACGTCCTCCCCGACCGCCTCGGAACCGCGGGAAGCCCCGATCTGTGCTGCTGATGCCAGGTCGGTTGGTGCGCTTGGGCAGGACCTGTGGTGGGTGCAAAGAAGTAAAAGGAAACCCAAGTGGTTATTACGGCAATGCCACAGGTGCGGACTTAAACCGCTATTATGTTTCAGGGTCACAATAAAATGAAAGAATAAATTCCTTTTCATCCAATTTATTCCGACTCACCGATTCATATATCCGTATGGCAGGAATGGTATATATCTTGCTTACATTTAAGTCTTACCATTCAATACATGCATAATTTTAGAAAATTAAGCATTACATGCTTAACTGATATCACTCAAAAATGGACATGATGTTATGGTCATGCAATGCAGCAACAGTTAGAAGAGTAAAAATACATTGCTGTGCTGTACTTTCTCTCCCTCTATTCCCCACCTTCACCAACCTGCACCAATCGGCATGGTGAAATTATGATCAAATAACCCCCATTGGCTCTGTATGGTGTGGGGAGGCCCTCATCCAATGAAGGATTACCACAAGGGCTGTAAGTGTATGTGAGAAATTAACAGGTCCCATGAGGCATTGTGGTCTCCAAAGCTGACCACAAAGGGCAAAGTGGCTTGGTATAATCATAGACAGCGTGCAAGTTTAAAACGCCCTCACCTTTATCTGTCTGCCACGGAAGAGAGAATCATCGAGCGCCATGGCTGTACGAATTGACTCTTTCTCCGAGAACTCAATGTACGCAAACCTGCAGGGAGCACACGTAATTACTTCACTGACCAAGACATTTCATTCACCGTGTTTTTAAGTTCTGAAGGTTGTACCATGGGCTGGTAAAAGCATTCATTAAGGTGAAATGGTAAAGTCACATCATAATAAGGTCCCGTAAATGCAATGTCTCACAGTAGGGGGCGAGGCCACTTGAACGTCTCCCCCCATTTGTACATCTTAAGATGAGATCGCATTTATCTAGGTGTCGATGTGCATGTCTGTATTCTTGCAGTATTTGAGGCAAGGGTTAGCCAGGAAATGGCAGTGTAGCAAATTAATCCTTGAATCTATCTGTGCAGACCCTTTGAGTGCCCACTATGCGTGGGCACTCCAGGTTCCTCCCACATGTATATGAATCAGATCGTCCAATTAACCCAGTTTAGGATTCTGCTAAAAACTAGGATAAAGGGCATTCATGTTTTATTAATCCAAAAAGTAAAAAAGTAAGCAGGCTTGGGGAGGACGTTACAAGAATGACAGGTTGGCATTGAAAGGAGGAAATGTGCCTGACAGAATGTCCACCAAAGACCGAAAGCGATAACATCAACTAGTGTACAGGTTTTGACGGTGATAATGAAATATAAACAGTGCTCCGCGTTCAAACAAGTCTCATGTGGTAGTAGAAATGTCTCGTGGTGGTTGGTGGTTGTGCTGCGAGGCTCGGCGTACCCTTTGGGGTGTCCGGTGAACTTGTCGCACAGGATGGTGACGCGGTTCACGGAGCCACAGCCGTGGAAGTGCGCCTCCAACTCCTCTGCTGTGGCATGGTAATCCACCTGCGAGGTCCGGACGGTGTAGGGCGGCATACATTGTCAACCTCACCACACAAGCAACGACAGGTGATCCACTGATACAGGGGTCGGCAACCTTTCAAAGAAGGAGCCACGACCCATTGTGTCGTAAAAGCGGGGACCGGCCTGTACTACATGTTACAGTGTAAAGGATTTAATAAAGTAAATTCAGTTTTGGCAAAGAACGACTGCCTGTCAAAGGACAGCCAAAGAGCCGCATGCGGCTCCGGACGTGCAGGTTGTAGACCCCTGCATTCATATATTTAAGGAATGCATTAGCAAGTGATGAAGATGCACGTATTATAAAAATCTGCACGTTAACCGTGCATATAAAAGTCTACAAGTTTGGGCAAAGGGAATTGTCAGAAAAAAAATTACCAACTCGCATATGGATATTGCATTTTAAACTGTGATGCCATAACTACTGATGAACATATGAATGGTTCCGAGTTAATACATTACATTTTCTGCCATGAATGCATTTTGAGTACCAAAAAACTGAGCCAAAGATGGCTATATTGGCTGGAAGAGTAATAATACATTTGATTTAAGCCACATTTTTTGTGTTAAGTAAACTATTTGATGAGAATTAACCACTAAAACATGCATCTTATTTTTTATTCTGCAGCACTTATACCATGGCTTTAAATAAGTATCAGTGTTTAATACTCACCTGACACTTTAATAAATATATAGATCTATTTAAATCCTGGTAAGAGGCAATTTAAAAGTAAAAGTGTCTCCTTGCTCGTTTGAGTTGTCATCCCTGAATAACATAAATGGCAGGGCCTATTTCCGTGCAGTCACAATATACCGTTTCAAAAACCCTCCATTATGGAAAAAACAAATGTGGGCAATGGCTGTTGATTAAAGCTGCCAAAAAATAAGCCCAAGTGTCCACATGGTCAAACAAGCATTAGGGCGATGCTCATCTTCATTGGTAGAAATTCCACATTTCCATGGTACGTACCAGTCTCAACAGGATGCCCTCTGTTGAGCGTCTAAATTAGAATGCGCCTCAAGCTGCCACACAAACGGTGAGCGCATTTATTTTATATTCACTGTTGCCTCGTGATCAGAATTAATACTTCACATCAACTGTCATCAGTCGAACGAGATTCCATAAGTTGATCATCATTTCACGAGGCAACATGTATTTTAGAGGAAAATACAGACTGAAAATTGTAATAATTATATTAACCTTCTATAACCTTATATAATATCTCGTCACACGCAGCTCTCTTTGCCCACTACAGTAATTTTTGTTTCTTGCTGTGGTTGTCCCACCTGATAACGGAAGCTTGTGTTGCTTCCGAAACGTCGTGATTTAACTTAGTTATATATTATTTTTATACCTACGTGACTTTACCGACAGAACCAAAGAGTATCTATAAATATATATAAATCCAAGTAAGGGCCCATTCAGAAGGGAGTAAAAGAGTCTTCCTTGCTCCAACAAGCAATGAACAATTTGCTCATGTTAGTTGCCAGCCCTCAACAACCTACAATGGAAAGGGAAGTATCAATCAGAGAACCAATTTGCAAGCTTCTCAATGTGAACCACTGGCGACGTCCCACAAAGCGGTATTCTCTTGACCTCATAGAGACGATGGGCTATGTCGATCCAGCCGAGAATTTGAGCTCACAACCATCAGATTAAGAGTTAAAGTGCTGTCGCTAAACTTTAAAATCTAATTTTACCATGCTTGATATCCCTACCCAAATCTGCTTGGTATTTTGGGCCTTGCAGAGCAACTGCAATGAGGGAAAAAAAAATCGCAAATGGTGCTGGCTCAGAGCTGACGTGGCCTCCTAGCACCTGCATTATTGATGTTATTGACAGCTGCACGTCTACTCAGAACCTCCAGGCTGTCTCCCCGGAAAAGAATCTGTTAAAAGGAAAGTCATAGAGACCCACGTACGTTTCCCACATAGATGGACCGTGCATCTGCCTCCATCTTCTCTTCAAACGACATGATCATGGGTCCCGCTGTGGAGAGAGGCTGAGAGTGAGAAGCAGCACAAGCAGACTACGAAGCCACTCGGTCACATTCATGAGCACCTTTGGGCAAAGTCAGTTTTGCATAGACCCACATTCTTACAGTAAAAAAATATAAGCAGAACTACGTTTTATGTCTTTACAAAGTATTTTTTTATGACAAGCTAAAAATGCATTTTCCCATCTCTGGCATTGTTCCTCGTGATCAGAAATATTAATTATCATCAACTGTTTCAGTCGAACGAGATTCCAAAAGTTGATCATCACGTCACGAGGAAGCATGCATGTTCGAGCGAGAAGTATTCAAAACTACAATTTTAAAAATAACTTTACTTTGCACTCAAAAGAGTCTCTCTGCTCAAGCGAGCACGTGGCAGAGTTCATCTCTACTGGCGTGACAAGATGAGAGACAGTGGTCTAAATACCACATTCTTATTGAAGATGTCAGTCTATCCAACAACCACTACTGGACTAGTTAACTACAGCAGGAGCGACCATTAGATTAAGCTAAATGCTACAAATTCGAATTTGTCCAAGACCTTTCAAATTTGTATTGACAATTGCAGTTGATAGTTTCGGAGTGTGACTGGGGCTGACGTTAATACTTCATGTGAATTAAACCGGTACCTGCAGGGGGGCTGAGGTTCATCTGTTTCTCCACTTCATTCTGCATAGCCTTCAGCTTCTCAGCCTCCTCCTCCATCTCGCGGACTCGTGCTTTAATCGCTTCCAGCTCCTACATGCACACACCCGGACGCACGCATACACACACACACACACAGCAACACAAAAAGCACACCCACACACACGCAAACACAAGGCGCAGGCACAAACACTCCCACTGGTTATGCACGTGCACCCATATCGCCATCGCCTTCCGGACCAAAGGAGACAATGGTCAATGTATATATTTTTTTTATGCTTCCGACAATTTCTTGACGCATATGAAAATCTGTCACAACAGTTCAACAATAAATACAGACTATGGCCAATCATCGGGGAGTCCTTTAGCCATCAGCTCGAAGAGCAATGAGCCTAGGATGCAAGGCACAATCGACTATTGTATAAGCAGGGCCAAAAAAATTGCTTTTACAAGCACATTATGCACTGTGCCGCATCTCAGGATGTGTTTGCCCCGTCACTTTAAAGACAATACAGACGTCAAGTTCTGCCAGGAGCAACGTAAAAAAAGGAAAATAGAAAAACATATTTAATAGTTTTGAGACCATTGGGCATTTGAAATGCTCCATTCAAGCAACATGACATTTATCTGTTATTCAATTAGATTGTTCGTCTTAATTTTCAGTCCTTTTGCCATTTCCCACTTTAGAACCTTCAGAACATATGGTAAATGTTCACCTTCAGATTGACCTGTTTCAATTGCAACAAAATCTGACATATCGTGACATTGTAATAAAATTCACCTACCTTAGCAAACATCCTATAAATAAATCACGAGGAAATTCTAGCTGTTTTTAAAAAATGGGCTCTACGAGCAGTGTGTAAAATTTAAGTCAAGAGCCATTATATAAATTGCTTAATTTTCTGCCAATATTTGCAGATAACAAAACTGGAAGAAAACAGTTGCGTTTCAGCTGCCTTTCCTGCCAAGCATCAGTACAAACTTAGTTTCCATCAATGTGTAATTAGCTCCGGAATGCGAGCAGTTGGAGAAAATTATCTTATTTTAAACGGAGACTGAGACGTAAGAAAATACACGATTTTTTGTTTAAAAGTATGCGTCAAACCTTCAGCAATACTGCCACGTCGTTAAACCCTGCCTCCAGCAACTAAATTTCAATATACAAACTAGCTATTTGTGAATTTACTTATTAATACGAGACAATTGGGAAGTTTAAGAGTTATTGAAAAACTTGCAAGTCCAACATTGATTTGGCCAGGTGAAATAAATTCCTTCAAGAGCAGAAAGGTCTCATTCCTGGCACCTTTGACCCAAGGCTTGAGGCATGATGATCAGTAGCAGCCAGCTCAATCAATCCCTTCTCCACGCCAGCAATGTATGCAGTGTTATGAAACATGCATGTACTTTGAAAACGTTTGTGTGTGGACTTAAAATGTCTTGGCCATAACATTGTTCAACAAGGTGTGCTTAGTAGAAGTCTGACTCATTACTGTAGTCAGAATCGACTCTTTCAAGACTAGTTTAATGGCAATCCAACAACCATATGGTGCAGACACCAAAAGTATAAGAGTTGTCACTTTCTTTTTGCTAAACACCAGTGAAAGTGTCTCCATGCTCAACGAGTGTTGGGCAATGCTCATCTCCATCGCAGTCTCGATTGTAGAATTCCAAAGTTTCCATGGTGGGAACCAGTCCATCCATATAGGATGCCCTCTTGATTTCACATTAAGTGGTTCATGATTTATATTATTTAGATGTATATAGCGTATGAGACAGCACTGCAAGCTCCTGCACAGAAACAGTGAGCGTGTTTTAATTTATATTGACAATTGCCTCATGATCAGAAATCTTACTTCACATCAAGTGTCATCAGTCGAACGAGATTCCATAAGATCATCATCATCTCATGAGGAGTCGCCTATTGTAAACCAAAAATGTTAACTGAAAATTGTAATGCAACAAATGTCATTCAATTGGGCTACTGCTATCACTGTAGCCAACCATGTCGCATTGTAGCAAAGGGGCTGGCTCACAGGCAGAAGGTTGCATGTTCAAACCTAGGGGTCGATTCACCCAATCACTGAAGCTGATCGACAAGAGTACCACTTAGTGGGAATGCAAGAGAGGTTCTACGAATCAACTTGTGCCGTCACAGAAATGTGCAATTTTCACCACTGGGACCGACAAAGAGATTCATAAAGAGATGTTTGAGCTTGGAGACACTTTGACTTGAATGTAATGACGTGTTCTGCGGAAAGGGGGCAGACAAGTTTGATTATTTATACCATCTTAACATGTTATATGTTTTTAAATTTTCCATTCACTATGCTCTAACACACAACAATTTCGTAATAATGCATGTTGAGACCAATGGCTGGTAGTATAGAAATGTAAGATGTTATCACTGAATTATATTACAATTCACAAACCTGTACTAATTCACTGGTCAATGAATGTCTAATGGTTGTGTCGGTAATAGGGTTGATTGACCATAACTGAAGGTTAACCGTGGTAAGGATTGAACACATGTCACCAGGTAACCAATGCGCCATCAGCTAAACCACAACCATTACTCTCTTAGAAAATCCTGTACAACCAGCCACAGGGCTTCTTGAATCATGGTGCCAAAAGTTAGCCATCTACACTACTGGGGAAGGCCCAATTCAAGTGAATAGTATACAGCTCTCAGCGCCTGCCAATTACTCTTAGTAACCTCAACCTATCAAAAAGGGCCCCCTTGCAAGAGAAGTGATGAATCTTAAAGGACTCCCACCACCTGAACAACCAATATTGTAAAGTCATGAATCTCAACGGTTTCCCCAGTCGTAGAGGGCATACCAATTGAATCCGCGTGAATAAGAACTGAAGAGATAGCTAAGCCCAACATCCTTCCGCCCTCTTACGCATGAAAACAAGTTGGAATTTTTTCATTATTTCACAGCAGCCAAATACACAGCGGATAACAACAGTTAACCCCGTGGGCATGATGCAATGAGTGGGTTACCACAGGAAATGACAATTGAAAAGCGTTAACGATTATCAGTGATGTCTTAAAACTACTTACAAAAAAATTACTTAATGCAATTAATCTCAATATGCATCACTCGGTTAAATAAGAGTCAATGCAGTGAGAAAACTGGACAAATATAATCTGAATGGGGTCTCGCATCACTAAACGAGAACATGACCGGATTCAGAATATTTATCCTGGAAAAATCCGACGAGCTGCGAAGGCTCTTTCTCACAAACGTCCATGAATTGCATCTGAATCGTGCCTCGACGGTTCAATAAAGGCGGCAAAGCTCATGCACACGTATGGTACCGACACACGTACATGAACAGATTTAAGTGAATCAGGCAACGACCAGTGCCGCACATTACGTCGCTAAACAATGCACAAACGTGTACTCACTGTACGAACACGCCGAGGTGTATGTACGCACAAGACAAAGATCATTGTATCGCCAGGAAAACAATGGGAGCAAGACCTGTTAAGTGGGCAGCTGCTAGAATATTGCTAAAATACATAAAGTGTGCACATACAAATGCATGCGTACATAAATATGTAGGCGCAACAACACGTACACACGCGCACATGCGCATACTAATTACACAAAACACATTCCTTATATCCCACGCTGGCCTCCATAATCAATCATTCGCTCGCAGACGAAAATCCTGTTGATGCACATCTGTCTCCATTATGTTAAATGACGGCTTGGCTTTTCGGCCCCTTAATTTTTCATCTTTCACGAATTTTCTGCCTTTGGCGCCCCTTAAGTTCATTCATTCTCTGCACGAGCCCCGGCTCCATTGTTCAACATTAAAACCACACACACCTTGCGCTACGCCCAGCGACACGCCGCCTAGTTAACAGTAGATTACAACAAAGCAATTATGTACACAGGGTAAATAAACGCGATTAAAATCGTAAATTTAGAATCGCACGAGGCGTCGGCCTACACGACACGCGTGTACAGAGAAGCCTGGCCTCCGCCTAGGCGAGGGGCCTACTTTAGTAGCGCAAAGGAGGTGAATGCGCGCCAAAAAATAATCCCCTCGTCCATTTCTTCCGCTCGCCTTCAACTTTTTTTTCCCTTTAAAAACTCACGGGGTCTTCTACGGTCGAGTCGTCCACTCCATCGGTCGCGCCATCCGTCGAGTCGTCCATCACGGGCTGACTCTCACCCTCCTCGTGCCCGTACAGAGACTCTTCACCACCGTTGTCGTAATCTGCGTCCGCCATGGTGGCGCCTCTGCAGTCCGCGGCGCCCGACCCGGCGCTCCGTCTCCGCGCTCCGCGAGCGAGATGGGGCACGCCGCGCGAAAAGAACGCTCGCGCTGCACGGCGGAGCGCTTCGCGAGAGCCGCGGCCGGGGTTTCGGGGGCGGACGAGGCGGAGAAGCGCGCGGATGCGAGGGGATTTGCCGCACTTCTGCTCTTCCCTCAGCGGGGCCCGGAGCACCGGGTAGCCTGGGACCGTGATGACGTCACGAGAGGGGGCGTGGTTACCTTTCTACGACGTCACGCGAACGTTTCGGAATATTCGTGGTGGCGCGTGACGTCAACCCCCCTCGCGGATTTGTGAACACGTCACACAGAGACTTGGTTACATGATGTCACGCAGGTTTGGAGAATTTGTATGCGAGAAGTCAAGTCTCTTACCTATATGTCAAGTGATATTTATTTTTAAACTGGCGACAGGGCTTTAAAAATACAAAGCAAAACATATATAATTAAGCCACTGTCTATCCACTGCTGTATGAAGGCCTCCGCATTCTGTGACCATCACACACGGCCCAGAGCTCCGTCATCTCCTGCTGTGGACGTCCAATCTGGGACGTGCTGAATGGCTGCAATTCAGTCACCAGTCTTTTCCATCAGATGCGTCCGGCATTGATGTTCATGATTTGTGTCTGTTCCCTGAACCACATGTTAAAATCCCTACTAGCGTATCTATTCATATCTATATAAGACAATCATAAAAACAATCCCTCAACACATTCGTCGACAATATTGTGGCTTTAAAATTAACACATATATCATAGTCGACGTTTCGGGCAACATCCCTTCATACAACATAATGAAACTCGCCTTTTGCCCGTCCAAGGACGGGTGTATTTCAGTAAATCTGAAACTTGCAAGCGAAAAGCAGAACGCGACGTGATATGAATTGCATCAGTTCGTGTGCAATTTGTCAGGCTGCGGTGACAGACTTATTTCATGTAAAGGTGATAATCCCTTGTTCATCACGACGTCCAATAGCGTGACGGAGACCGCGTGACGTCATGAGGGTTGTGAGTTGACGCCGAGGAGGGGGGAGGAGGGGCCTCGCCCCCCCATGTGGAGTGACGTCACCCGCTAGTTATTATTAATGGCAAGGGGGGGTGTCCATTTGGAAGACGTCACCTGTTCATGAGTATTAATGAGGGGGGCTGTTCGATGTGGAGTGACGTCACCTGCTCATGAGTATTAATGAGGGGGGCTGTTCGACGTGGAGTGACGTCACCTGTTCATGAGTATTAATGAGGGGGGCTGTTCGATGTGGAGTGACGTCACCTGCTCATGAGTATTAATGAGGGGGGCTGGTCGACGTGGAGTGACGTCACGTGCGGGACACACAGACATTCTTGGCTCATTGTAATAAATATTATCGGTGTGGCCAAATAATTTGTTCAATTAGATGTTTAAGTTTTATATGGGGTTTTTATATTGAGGAATAAAGATGTGAATCTATACATAATTGTAGATTAGAAAAATATATAGTTTTGCATTGATGGTAGTTCTGCATCTTCTAATAATGGACGCCAGCGATTGCACTTAACAGAAAAAAGGTTTATCGTCGTCAATATAGACAAAACCAAAACCAGTGTTTATTTTACCAGGTAAGGCTCACTGAGATTTTTCACTCTTTTTCAGAAGCGACCTGGTCACAAATAATAGCTCAGCGAAGTGGCTTATCTTGAGGACATTTATAGCAGCCAAATACTCCATTAAAGAGTTTTTTGGGTTAGATCGCGTAAATATACAAATGTGTCGTTAAAACCCGACACCACCCGACACAGATAACTAGTAAGGGTTGTCACGTAAACAGAACGTGCCAATTCGTCACTAGTACAGCACACCGGTGTGTTGGAGAGCAAATCCACAACATTTGCAATCTGAGTACGACGTTTCGCCAGTAATTACAACCAGCTTCATCAGGCGACAGCCAGATTTGCGGAGAAGTCTCTTTCGTTCCTTATCTAGAGGCGTAGATGTGGTGACCACGCAGCTGCGCTCTTGCACCACGTGGGGGAGGGGGGGATTACTGAGTCAAAGTACATTATGCATCATGTGTATTATGCGAACCCTTTGATCGTATCCTTCCTGTCTATTTTGTGTATTAAAATAGCCGTACCAACGGCAATCCTTATTGAAGTACGCTGCCCTTTGTAGGCATGCATTTAAATAATGCATTATTTGATGATTCACGCAGCACTAAGGCGGTAGCTATCCGAACGGCTAAAATTATTTTATTTATTTCAATTTCGATAGATTCTCTAATTAGTCTTAGCCAGTAGTAGCTAGTTTTGCACAGAACTTCAACATTTTCAAAATCAATTGAGTGTCCTTGTTGGCACGCGTGTTCTGCTACTGCTGACAGTTGCATTTGGGAGAATTGTATTTGTCTGATCTTTTAGTCTCGTGCTGATCATTCGTCTTGTTTGCCCAACATAACATCAACCACACGTGCAGTGAATCCTGTCACACCTTCTGTTGAGAGCTTCGGTAATACATCTTTTGTACCAGATGTTACTCTAAACGCACATTTATAAATGTCAAGAGAGAACCCGATGGTGTCAGGCAATTACCATTCCGTACAGGACATGATGAATATTTAACTCGTTAGAGGGTAACAATTGTACCCAATTGTTAAATGTTGTAGAACGTTCTTGAACACACGGTGTGCTGATGATGCAGCAATCAATTGACGCATTTGTTCATCACGTGACAACTTTAATAATTGGTTGTGTCGGGTGGAGGAGGGTTTACAACACATTTACTGAAGCGATCTAACCAAACAAATGTAATGAAATGCGTATGGCAGCAATATGTTCGTGAGCTTCATGCCACAGTCGAGGTCTGGTGGTCACAAGGAGCGCTTCGGGAGAGTTTTAAGTGAATACAATTTTTTTTTACACTGATGATCCCGTCTAGCCACTTTCCCGGCTATTTCACAAGCGAGATCCGTGGTGCGTGAGCACAACAACAGCAACAAGAGCAACAAGAGCCAAGGTGTACAGGAACAACAGAACAGACATCGATATCGCGCAGGACGAGTTCAGCGGTCTTTAATGAATCCTGGATTGCGCAACTCGTGTACCCTCGTTTTGTTAAATCCTTCATATTAAGTTCACTTGCGCGCTTGCGCGCTTACGACCGTGCAAATCTTTCGGTCGTTTTGTAACCCACTTCCCGTGATCCAATCGAGCTGACATTTTGCACACAGACTCGTTGTGCGTGACAATTTATTTTCGTGAAAATTTTTGTCAAAATTTTTTCCACTTTTTAGGAATTTTTTTTTCATATTTAATTTAAAATACCAATGTGATAAAAATGACACTTACTCAAGAAAAACAGAAATGAATAATAAAATAAAACCGATGCCACGCATATAAAGATTTATAGTGAAAAACTTCGTTTTTACGGGTTAATTTGTATCCCTGCAGTGGAGCGCAGACGACAGCGGCTCACGAGATTGCCCACAGCACGTGAAGTGAAGAACGGCCATTGCCCGAAACGTCGCTTGTTATTTTGCATTATTACAAAATATGTATACATTTGTAATATATATGTGTCCCTTGAAGGCCACACACAGACGCACAAACTGTGGAACAAATACTCGAGAACAATCTAGATTTTTATCGAGAACAAGTCACGTCACGCGGCCCGCTTCGGAGCGGGTGTGCGTATGACGTCACGCGGCCCGCTTCGAAGCGGGCGTGGGTGTGACGTCACGCGGCCTGCTTCGGAGCGGGCGACCGTGTGACGTCACGCGGCCCGGTTCGGAGCGGGCGTGTCTATGACGTCACGCAGGCGGGGCCACGCCCACACGGGAGGGGTTGGGGGAAAAAAATCCTGGAACCGGATCCGGGATTCCCCGGCAAATTGGAGACCGAGATCCGGGTCCACCACCTGCGCCCCGCCCCCCGCTCCCCGTGGCCCGCCAATGGGACCCGGGGGGTGGGCGGGGTCAGCCTCCGGGAACCGGTTCCGCAGCCCGACGCATGAGGCGGTTCCGCGGGATCCGGTTCCTACCGAGGGATCCGGTTCCTCCCCCCTCACCCACCACGGGGTCGCCTCGCGTCCACCACGCGGCTGACGCAACTCGCTCCCTGTCGGCGGGACTGGGGGAGCAGCGGGACTCGGGGCTCGGAGCGACTTCTTCACGGCCGATTTTGACGAGCAAGAGGGAGACTAACATCGCGCGGCCGCCGACATGTCGGACGAGGAGGTGCGTGCGGCGCGGGGCGGGCGAGCGGGCGACCGGCGTGGCGCTCGCGGCCCAGGCGAGCGCGGGGCCCGCCTGGACTTGCAAGGCCGCGAAGGCCGCGTCTGAGAGGGGGGGGGGGGGAGACGTCTCTGTTCATTTGCACGGAACGGCGGTCGGTCGCCTCGGCGGTGGGGGGGGGGGGTCTTGATTGTGTAATTCGAGTCGCTGCCTCGCCTCGGATTGTCGGGCATTTGGGGTAAAACATTTGTTTAATTGATGCTTTATTTCGACGCAGAGCCAGGCCTTGAGGCGGAGAGCCGTCGCTGGTTCAGCCACGTGCGGGGTTCTTGACGGGTTCCCGATGCGGCTTAAAAGGGGTGAAAGTGCAGCCCTGAAACAACGTGTCCAGTCTCACGCCACTGCTGGCTGAAGAGCCTCCCCTGGGGGGTAGCGCCCAACAATTGAAACCGAGTGCGTCTCTGCTGATTACTGAGCGATCGAACCGACGGCCTCCGTATTGCAAGACCGTCACGCCAACCATTGCGCAATGGCAGCACACCCCCCCCCCCCCGTGCCTTCTGTTTGTGTTAAATGTGCTGTAATTACACGCGATTATACACGGACTCTTTCATTAGTTGGGTTGGCCGTCTCGACACGTTTAAATGCGTCGTCGTTTCGCCAGCGCCGCTCGCAGTTCCTTTGCGAGTTTGATTCAAAAGTGATTAATGATTATGTAAAGTAATCCGATTGAGTTTTTTTGTTATCGTTAAGCGCGGATTAGTGATTATTTCAACCGCAGTGAATACCTGGTTATCGGCACATTGAAGGTGTATCCAATGTAATACTTACACGCAAGGCCGTGTTTACAGCGCGTAGCACGGGTCCAGTTCATGGTCTGTGGTGGACTTACATTTACTACCGTGCCAAGATTCGCCGTCCTCTGTAGACAATGATCATGTCATAGGCATGTGGAATTGCCACCATGCTCGGATAGGCCACTTCTGATCCTTTAATACTCTTTGTAACGGGATAATA